TTGTGAAATTTCCCACACTTATATAAAAATTAACACAGAATTCAAAAAATACAACACACATTGCGGTAAACTGGCTAATTAAAAGATATTTACGAAATTACTTACCGTTATTGGATTTAAAGCCAAAACAGTGATGCCACTAAACAATTTTTTTAAACATGTGCTGTATTGCCAATCTTTGTGAAATTTCCCACACTTATATAAAAATTAACACAGAATTCAAAAATACAACACACATTGCGGTAATCTGGCTAATTAAAAAGATATTTACGAAATTACTTACCGTTATTCACTGCGTGCTGCCAAAAAAAAATCGATTTATTTTATACGCGTCAAAACCATCTCAGGTCAAAGCCTGGCATCTCTCCAATAACTTCTAATAACTTTTCCTATTTTAGCTTTCACTTAAAGAGCACAGAAAAATCATTTCTGAATAACAGACAATTGGTTTTCAAATTTTCGGGTCGCAATCGCGTCTATAGATACCGACGAAAATGTATAGCAAAATAAACGAAACAAAACGATCCATTGCTATACCTAGTATAGTTAATTGCGTATCCTTTACAGGACATTGCAGAACCAACCCCAGAATTTTGTGTGTGGCTGTTGTGGTTTTTTTTTAAAGGCAGATTTTACATTCAGTAGTTTAGCATTGTTGCTGAACTGTCAGCTCTTGTCGAAACTAACGCAAGACACATCGTCCACAGCTTGGATCCAGCTCGCGCATTACGAAGCGCGTACACAGCACATAAGCCACTGACACCGGCACGAAATTCATATAGTTTCTGTTGGTCGAGTTCATGTCTGAGCAAACATTTGTGAGGTCATATGTGAATATATTAGCTAAGAATAGCATTTAAGGGGTATTTTCTTTCAGACAAATTTAAAAAAAAAACAGGTCGATGTTAGATTTTTACTGTGAGCTGTAGTGATGGTCATAGGGTCATGGCTTGAGTCACTGGATGCACATAATTTGTAGGCCCTCTTTATGTATTTTAATGAATGCTTCACTCTGTTTATGTTTATTGATTACAACTTTATATATCTTTGTAAATATATTTTTAAAACAAAATACTAAATGTAGGTAAATAATAAAAAAATAAAAAATTACTAATGACCTATGTATTGCTTTGTTCTAACTCTTTCATTCCCAGGGAGTTTAGATCAGAGACCCAAGAGGTATTGAAAAGAGATGGAAAATTATCACATTTTGATTTCAATGGGCTTCTAGGTATAAACGTAAAATGCATTTGTTGGGACTAAAAGAGTTAATGGATTTTTTTTTAAATGCCCACATGGTCAAGACTCTTTTTTTGTGTGTTTCTGCGGTTAAAGGGTTGAAGCAGTGGTACCCAAAAATTTTTATAGTGCCTTCCTTGAGTGTGTAGCAAGATTGGGACTGAAAAAGTAAAGGATTTTTTCAAACATGCCCACATGATCATGACCTTTTTTTTAAAAAAAAATGTTACCAGGGTTGAAAGGTTAAAGCAGTGGTCCCCAACATTTTTCGCAGTGCCTCCTTTAGTATATTAGCAATCCCCCCCCCCCCCTTTTTTAAGTATATAGCAAGCCCCTCTCTAAGTATATATCAAGGCTTCCCCCCCCCCCCCTCCCCCGACATAAAAAAATGTGATTAAAGAAAGGATGACAATAGATACTGCAACAAGGGACCCAAACTGTATGAAGATACATTTTGATCAGAATGTGTTCTTAATCTATAAATGCATGTATTATCATATTAATTATGTTTTTTACAGTAGATATTGAAAATGATATGTCTGAGAATGGCTGTGAGTAAAACCAGAATAAATTGAGTGAGAAACGACGGGATCACAAGAACTGTTGGAACAACACCCATCGTCAAATTTATTGAGAAACAAAGAATAAAATGGTTTGGCCATCTAATGAGAATGAAACTAATGATGTCAGCAGCAAGAGCGTACAACCGGAAAATCGAAATATCAAGAGGCAGGGGAAGACCGAGAAGAAGATGGATTGAAGGAGTCACTGGCATCTTGAGACTGCATAACATCACGGCATATCAAGGGATTGAGCGCACCCTGGCTCAGCTGCTGATCGTCTGATGAACTGTGACATCGAGCGGCATAAGCAGATATTGACAAAAGAAGAAGAATATACAAACTGCTAATGAAGACCCCCAAAAATGTCCTTAGCTTTTTGTTTTATAGTTTTTTAAATATTTAATTTATATTTAAACTGAAAATAATAAAATACTATAACGGATTACTACAAATAATAATGCAGTGAAATTTAAAATTGCTTGATGCCCCCTTGAAACCTCCCTGTGCTTTCCAGGTTGGAGACCTCTGGGTTAAACTCATTCAGTACCAAGCAGCTAACCGTGTGTTTGGTGATGTAAACATTTCTTAACTCCTTGTGGCTGATTTAGTTCTCATCTCTTATTTTAACTCTTTCTGTTTCATAGTGTTATTATTTTAACTCCTTACGCCTGAACAATTATTACTTAAAGTAAGAGCTTCTTAGAAAAGAGCAAGCTATCCCCATGTAGTTTTAGGACCCCATTTGGGGTTGGGGATAGACCCACTGCCTGCTATCAAGCATGTCGTAAAGGCAACTGTTTCCTGTGAAGTCAGAGGGGATCTGCTAAAGAGAAGAACCAGTAGTTTGCATAGTGATACGATGAATCGGTAAAATGGATGTGGATGCAAAACTCAGATTCTGGTACAAGACTAAAAGTCCAGAACTGGATCAACCAACCATAAATTGCTGCCAGAGAAGAAGAAGAAGAGCAAGCTAAAAAACACTTATTTTGGTACAGAAAAGTTTGATACATCATTTCATTTTTGTGTGTGTTTTGGTTCCAGTAGAGATTGTCAACACAAGCTTGGATAGAAAAACTGTTCACAAGCAGTGATCATCCATATCATCAGCCCATCACAATGAGTAACAAGGTGTCTGACCAGCCAAACCCCACTACAGCAGTAAGTACAGTCAGTAACTTTTATCTAACAATGCAACAATCTGTGCCTTGTGAATTGCTACTCATTTAGAGATGATGCAGTCCGAAAGAATGTGTGAGTAGTAGCAGCACTAGATTTCATTAGGAGACAACAAGTGAAGTGGTGATTTGACCATTTAACTCAGCTGTACACTTCAGTGACCAATGACATACTAACCATTTGGGAAATAAGGAGACTGACCATACAACCATTGCAATACAGAGTCCGTGGAAACACTCGTATACAAAGCACACAAGTCAGCACTCTCCCTGAATTCATACTTCAAAACCTCAAGGTGCAAGTGAATAAAGATGAGTTGTAAAGAGATACAATCCATACAATGACATATGGGGGAAAAAAACAGCATTGCAAGAGGGACATTCATAACAGCTATGATTACAAAGGAAGATCAAGAATAGAATGTATTGATTCTTTCAGCTGTGTGTTACACAAACACAGAACTTGTGCTGGTGATATGTATAATTCCAGACAGAAATCTTCAGAAAGTGACTACGGTTAATATGAATGTGGGCCAAAAGACATTGTCAGTGTGGGGGTATTAATAAAAGATGAGAAGCGGCTAGCTGAGTGGTCAGAATTGAGGGCTTTTCTTTGGGAGACCCGAATTCTTATGCCTTGGTAAGGGTTTGGCAGTTTTAGCCATAGTGGGCAAAAATAATCCTAACCTGCACAGATTATGGCCGCTGCACTAACATTGCGACACTAAATCTTTAGGCTAACAAAAAATGGTAAATACAGGACAGTTATATGAAATAAAAAAGAAAATAGATCTGCGCTTGATGAAGGTTTGTCCTTGTGCATTATAGAGCAAAACTGCCACAGTTCAGACAGCTGCTCAAGTGGTTAGTAGGCTGGGGCTTTTATGCAGAAGAACTGGGTTCAGTTCTTTAGTAGTATCAAGGAAGAATGTTCTGTAGAGGGCATAAGTAAATATGCTAACCTGCACAGTTCATGGCAGCTGCATTGACCAAATATCCCTAAATGTTCAGGTCCAACAATCCCTCTCCCCCTCCTATACTGCCTTAAAAAGTGGTACCATAGGTAGTAAAGACAGAGAGCTGGGACAGTGTGGTAGCTAGTTTGCTTGCTATTGGCCTAGTATTCAGGTGTTAAAATCCCTTAACACAGGGATACAAAAAATGATTAAAAATTTTAGGCTATCCTTCGATTAACGGGCACTAAAGATGGCAGCCGCAAAATATCCATTTGAGCAGCAGTCAAGTGTCAATTGCGTACTTCCGGTTACTTAATTTGCTGTTTTCCGTCTACTATCGCCGCCGCCACGTGGATTGGGGCTAAACTAGATGGCTAGCACTCACGAGCAGCAGCTTCCGCATCTCCTGCAGCTTTGCTCGTGAGTCCTAGCCATCTAGTTTAGCTCCATTCGACGCCGCGCGAGTGCCAAGTGGCGATAGCGGTTGTTGGCTGAAAACTGCCGAAAAACTGCAAATTAAGTAGCCGGAAGTGTGCAATTGACACGTGACTGCGGCTCGAACGGATATTTTGCGGCCGCCATCTTTAGTGCCCATTATTCGAAGGATAGCCAAATTTCAGGTTGATCCAGACTAAAATGGGTACTAAAAATGTTCTGGGAAGTAAAAGCAGCTGATATTGACTATGTCACCCATGGAGTGCCATTTGATGTTAAAAAAAAAGTACCAGCACCCTCTACCCCATGACCCAGAAAACCCAAATCAGCTAGACTACAGATTACTTTGAAACCATTGGGTCCTGTAGTATAATATGCTTGAACATGGCTGCTGGGATTTGTACCTGAGGGCTTTGCTCCAAATAGTGGCTCTTTGAATCACCAAGTATGCAGTCCTAGTGATTTTTTATACTGGAGCACTTAAGTAGGAGCCAGTGTGCTATAAAAATATCTCCCAAAATATATATCTACAAAAATGTCAACTAAGATTTTTATATATGTATTATACAACTTGTGGTTGAAAACAATGTTTAACTGTAGAATGTGTTTAGTGATAGATATGTAATTTTATTGTTGAAAGGTCTCTTTATACTAGGGTAACAACCTGCCCATTTAATGCTATGAAGAATTCTTTTCGTGCCATTAGCACATAGTGTATATGGTGATAGACCAGTTAGCACTGGATGGGTGATAAGGTTATCATTGCCTATCGGGTGCTGATCGCTTTCCACTACAATCAGTAAACATGAAAAGAGTTAAGCATTAAATGGAATACATTCTTTTAGGGTCCTGAAATAATATGTATCTGGTGACTCATGCACTGAGGCTATGGGGAAGATTTGACATTGGCATGTTTTTAAAAAAAAAGCTATTTGATAAACAAGTAAGCTCCCTTAAGTATTCTTTTTAGGGAATATATTCTTATCTGAGCACTGCATAGGCCACAAACACAGCCACTGACATTAACTAGGTGCCTTGTAAATACATCACTGTAGAATAACTGCCTGTGAAGATGGGGCTTTATAGACAAATGATGGAAAAACCCTGGACAGATAAAAACGAAAAATGAAGACGTCTTAAAAAAAACTGACTCATAAAGAGAACTGATTGCCTACATTAGAAAGAGACATTCTCTTCTTTGGTCATGTCATAAGAAGGAGAAAACTGGAGCACATCATGACCCTAGGAAAGTTCGAGAAAAGGAGAGGCAGAGAGAGACCAAGAGAACAGATGCAGGAGGACAGTCTGACATCATGACATGAAGGATCATTTGTGTCAGAGTTGATTGAAAGTACACGAGACAGAAGCTTGTGAACAGACATGACTACTAGCACCACAGGGCATGGAATTTAAGAATAATAATAATTACTGAATAAGCAGCGTTCTTGGGGAATTTAACCCCACCAGTTACAATGTTTCTTAAACCACTGTTATGTAAGGGTCAGATGTGATTATCAGATGTTGTCACTTCTTCTTTATTTTCAGGCTGATGCTGATTCTCTTTCCAAAGAAGAAAAGGAAGCCCTGCTGACAAAAAAGATGAATATGATCCGTGAGCGGAACAAAGCTATCAGTGAAAGACATAAGGTTGGTTTGTGATAAATAACTGTTTCTGTCTCGGGAAAGTTTTGTATTCTGAATTATATGTTTAGGGTATTCATATCCTGACGCCATGAATTCTGCACTGGCACAAACACAGCCAATTATGTTAACTAGGCGCCTCTCATATAAATGTATGTATGTGTGTGTACTTGTGTGAAGAAAATGCCAATGACCGTGTTGTATGGAGGGGGCAGATCATGAAGGAATTTAGAATGGAGAAGGAAATGATTGCAGAAAGGTTGCGAGCTGAGCATCTGAGAAAAAACAGAGCAAACCCAAATGTTGACAACAACGATCCTGAAATCCCATGATATAATTGTGGAAGACTTTTCGTAACGCGGGCGGGTCTTGCTTGTCACACTCGCCAAAGCCATGGGCTGTGAGTCCCGTGCCTCCTCGTAGCCCAAGATAACACTATTGCCTGGAAATACGGATAGGTGCCAATCATATATAATTACATTCAACTATATATACATATATATATTACACACACACACACATATATATATATATATCCATATATATATATTACACACACACACACACATATATATATATACAAAATGTTTTTTATTCCATATATATATATTACACACACACACACACACATAGATATATACTGCTATATACATATATATATTACACACAACTGATATAGTAAAAATATGCGACATCTGAAAGACCTGAAAGAAACTAACTTGGGAGGGTGTATCATCGATAAGATATGTGGATGATACACTGTTAATTGAAGACAATAACGAAGATCTGCAGTGTTTAGTAAATGCAGTAATAGTTCACAGTGTGAAACTAGGCTTACAGTTAAATTGGAATTCAACTATGTATCACATTGCAGACTATTCCTCCATTCAGCTATATATCACATTACAGACTATTCCTCCATTCAGCTATATATCACATTACAGACTATTCCTCCATTCAACTATATATCACATTGCAGACTATTCCTCCATTCAACTATGTATCACATTGCAGACTATTCCTCCATTCAGCTATATATCACATTGCAGTCTGTTCTTCCATTTGACTGTTCACAAGATAAGTGGTGATTATCCATTATTGGTACAAGATAAGAAAAAAATGTAAATAAATTACTGTACTTTTCATGGAATGTTTCGAAGAGAGTACTGACACGTTATGTCATTCTTCTAATGTATAACAGTGAATCTTAGTAGGTGAATAAATCAATTAGAAAAATCCAAATGGTATTGGTTGGCTTTAACAAATCGACAGAAACAACACTAAAATAGTTGACTGGCTATATTAAGTCTGCTACAAGTCAAACAGAATAACACACAAAAATGTTGACTAGCTATAGTGAGTCTGCTACAACAAATTTTGCAAAAATAATGTTGACTAGCTATAGTTAGTCTGGTACAACAAATCAACAAAAATAATGTTGACTAGCTATAGTTAGTCTGGTACAACAAATCAACAAAAATAATGTTGACTAGCTATAGTTAGTCAGGTACAACAAATCAACAAAAATTATGTTGACTAGCTATAGTTAGTCTGGTACAACAAATCAACAAAAATAATGTTGACTTGCTATAGTTAGTCTGGTACAACAAATCAACAAAAATAATGTTGACTTGCTATAGTTGGTCTGGTACAACAAATCAACAAAAATTATGTTGACTAGCTATTGTAAGTCTGTTACATCAAATCAGCAAAAATCATGTTAACTTGCTATAGTAGGTCTGTTGCAACAAATCAACAAGAATAATGATGAGACTAGCTATATTTATTCTGCTACAACACATCAGAAGAAGAAAAAAAAAATCAACACAACAGTAATAGTAGCTAGCTAAAGTCAGTCTGCTATGCTTAAAATAGTTTTAAGCAACTTCTAGTTTGAATAAGATGTTTAATATGTTACACAAGCTCAGATTTGTTTGTGTTTCAGTTGATTGAGGCAGACAGGAGGAGAGCTGAGGAAGCTGGACAGGCAGTAAAACCATCTGTAGACAGTCAGGTCTGTATACCGTTTTTTTCAACTCTCATTTATTTAGAACACAGGCACACAGTTCTTATTCTCCTCCTCCTTCATCTTCTCCTTCTCCTTCTTTTGCATTCACCCTCGAAAGGGTAATTTCTAATTAGCATGTTGTGTTAGCATGTAGTACGTTATGTCACAGCTTGGCTTTCGGCCCAGAACATCCCGTTTCAACAAATCCTCAAATAGCTATCTTTTACGACATGATTGTTAAGGAGCAGTGGGTCTGTTTTTCTTTGCCTTTGAAATGGGACCCTGAAACCCACAGAGGGAGCACACAGTTCAGTACCATGTTGTTGTGGTACCATTGCTAACTTTGAGGTGTCACCTGATGAGGTCTCAGTCTCTTCTACAGTGACCAGCCATGTTTGAGATCCATTGCAGCCAAACTTTATTGGGCGAGACAATACCCAATTAATTGTCCTGCCGTCTATACATTTACACAGCACTGTAATTAAAACTATAAAACTGCCATTACTACCTGTGTTTAGGATGTTTGCAGTGTAGACAGGAAGAGGTCTTTGAGCCTGAAGTTTTAGGACTGCATGGCTAATGCTGTTGCCACAGACTGTGCAGGTTACGATTGTATTTTTTCCCTCAACAGAAAAAATCTAATGTTACCGAGGATTTGAACCCAATTCTCCTGCATAAAAGCCCAACATTCTCAACCGGGCGCTCTAAACTATAAAAGTCTGTTTTAGCTTAAAATAAAAAAAAAAAATTTAGGTTGTCCTTCCTGTTAACAGTCCAAATATAGTGATTATCTCTAGCTTTTGTGATTTTTGCCTTGTCGTGTTCTTTAGAGAATGAAACTGCAGCTGAAGTTATGCAGTAGATAGTTAGTAAAACATACAAGACCTAGTTCCGTGTCTACATGCTTAGACCAGCCAGCCTCCAGTGAATGATGTAGTCAGTCTCATGTCAGACACCTTTACTATTCTAGAACATTGGCTGGTGCCCTGTGTAGGTTTGGTTGACCTAGGATAGCGCTATTCAACTGAGTTTACTCTGAGGCCACATTTTTTGAAAATGGGGATCGTCACTAGCCAGAGGCTCGAGCCTGAGCATAGAAAGAGCATCAACACAGTACAGCCATATTTGGCCTGCGGGCTATCAGTTGAATAGTCTTGACCTCATTCAGTTTTTAACAACAATCCACCGCCTAATAGGGAATTTAAACATATGATCAATTGTGATTGAATGTATAGGTTATTATTCAAGGATTCCATTCTTTCTTCACATAGTGTGTGCCATGTTGTGTTGAAACACAGCCTTCTGTCTCATATACTGTCAGTCATTTCTGATACAAGTGTTCTTCTATGCTATGACTAGCATGCTTGACCAACATCAAGCCAACCACCTTAATTTGTGAGGATATTTTCTAGGTATCAGTGTCAGGACAGCAAATCAAATGGTTTGCCCACAGAGAATGCCTTGCGATACCATACAAAAACCAAGAACAAGATGGAAAATGGAAAGGTAACATTAGAGAAACTCTACAAAAGTATGGTGTTTCTGTGGTCTAGTTGACCAGAAGAGCAAGAAGCAAAACATTATATATTCCTTGACAACTGAAGTGGTCAAAGAGGAAGTGAAGAAGAAGAGGAAGAAGACCCAATTTTAGGCTAGGTTGACCTGAGAGCCCATGTTTAAAAAAAAAATTGCCCTGATGCAGTCTCAAACTGAATACTTTCAGGTTCACAGTCAAGCGACTAGCCACTGTGCTACCATGGCTACCAGATCAATTGTGAACCCATCATATTACAAATCACAGATTTGTTGTTTCTTTTGAATGCAAGATTTTAAAATGTTTTTTATTTCACAGTCATTACCCGCAGAGGGCATTAATAAACCTAGGGGCAGAGGAAGGGGTTACTTGTACCATGTAGACAGTGCTACACCCGGAAGAGAGAAACCAAAGTTTACTGGGGTAGGTTTTTCTGTCTATTTTTGTGAATGCATTGTGCTTTAAAAAATATCTAGTATGTATGTTCTGAATGAGGTGTGACATGAAGATGCCCCAAACATCAGAAATAGGGTGAAAACATGAAAACAGCATGGCACGAAGATCAGAAAGTCTGAAACATAAATACATATAATCACAAACATCAAAACAAAATTAATCATATTTTAAACACTAGTCACTTCTGTTAGGGAGCTGCCGTGGTGTAGTGGCTGGTCGCTCTCCTGGTTGTAGGTTAAAATTGACATCAATCGAGACTTAAAAAAAAAAAAAAAATAACATTGCCTCTAAGGCAACCCAGTCTAAAAAAGGTAATAGGTACGGTCCTGGGAATTAAATGCCTCTGGCATGATCACGTCACCCTCAGATCTGATTGGTCTGTAAAAATCGGTATGACCAATGTGCCTAATGGTGTGGAAAAGGCGTCTTTGATTCACTCATGTTAAATTTGGCATTGGTTGAATGAAAAGGTTATTGTTCTATGCTTCCATTCCATCTTCATATAATACATGTTTTGTGGTGTTGGTAATCATGTCTGTCGTCAGCCTTATGTGTCGTCTACTGTCAGTCATTTCTGTTGCAGGTGTTCCTCCATGCTCTGATGCCACACTGTCCAGAGTGTTCTCTATTGGTCTGCCTCTGCCTTTCTTCCCATGTAACTTTCCTGTTGAAATGAGTGAGTGAATGAATGAATCAAGAATTGACATTCCTGCACTGTGGACATTCCCACACATGCTCCGTATCCTTTCTCAGTAGCCAGCAAAGAGTCGTTATGCTAAAAGTAACACTTGAAACTGGTAATTTCCTATTGTCATGACTTACTTCAGTTTTTCCCTTCTTACAGTGTGACCAAAGAATGTAGACTGTCACCTTTTTATGTGGGTAATCAGTTTTCTGTGTGAGTTCATCTCTTTTAAGACATCTTCATTACTCTTTTAATCTATCCATGGTGGTTTCAATCATTTGCTATAAAGCCGCATTTCTGCAGCTTCCACATAAATTAGTTCCATGAGTTATATAACAGAAAAGCAGTACCCCCAAGCGTTGCTGTGGCTCAGTCTGGCAAAATGGAAAAGAAAGCTTCTAAAGGTTAAGTGAATTACATCATTGAATGAAGAATTGACGTCACAGCACTTGGGACACTCCCACAAGCTCTCCATCCCCATCTTCAGCAGTAAGTAAGTGAAGAGTTCCAATTCTGATGGTACAAGTAACTGTTTGATTGTATATCCATCTCCCCCTTCCCTTGAGTGTTGACTGTCTGCCTGATCCCCTGGTAACTTCTTGCAGCACAATTCTCCTCAGTCCTTAATTATATGTTTGTGCCTACGCACTGTTCGCTCACTCCCAATGGACCCTCACAACATCCAGCTTGTCATACATTAGTTCACCACCAAGTGGTGCAGAACTGGCCAGTCTATCTGCCTGCTCATTTCCCAACACACCGACATGACCTGAGGAAAATATTCAGGGGACGCTAACTACCCGGGACCTCTGAAGTGATGCTTGCCACTCTTCATGGAGCATGCATGTCTCCACATTTCTCAACATGCTCTGTGAGTCAGTTACTATCACAGCATGTGTGTACAGCTGATTCTCAAGCCAGCGGATAGCAGCATTAACTGCCTCCACTACCATTCTCCAACTAGACGTTTTGATATCATATGCCAGACTTTGTTGCAGTAAGCAACGTCACTATTTTTAAAACAATAATTATACCCTGTCCTCCTAAATACTGCGCTGGCCCAAACAGAGCCACTACTGTTAACTAGGCTTTTAAAGGACTGGCCAGTGCAGGAGTGTCAGTTAAGCAGCATCTATATTTTCCGTACTTTTCCCCTTGGGGTTGAACGAAACGATCAGTTCGGAGTACTAATCTTCTTCTTTTTCTTCTGCCTTCCTAACTCCCAATGGAGTGTAGACCCTCAACCAACCCATGCCAGGTCGTCCTATTCTTTGCTGTTGCATGCGACTCTCTGTTAACTTCACTATTTAGCTCCAGTCTCCATTTTTTTGTTTGTCTTCCATTATTTCTATGCCCCTGTGGGTTTCAGTGCCAAGACATTTTAGTTATATTATTCTCAGGTTTTCTCAGCATGTGTCCTGATCATTGCCAGCGTCTTTTCTTCATTTCTTGGTCCACTGGAACTTGTTTAGTTCTCTCTCAAAGCTCTACATTAGTGATTCTATCATACCATTTAATTCTCTCTAGTTAATGAATGTTTGTAGTTTATTTTTAATCGCCTTAGTTGTTCTCCTTGTTTCTGCTCCATGAAACAGTAATGATTTGACATTAGAATTGGAATCCTAATCAGAAACTATAAAATTGTCTGATGACAGTCTTTCTGTTACCAGGGTTTATGGGGGAAGCAAAGAACAGTAATAGTGAGAGTGGCTGCCTCATCCCATAGACCATCTGTACCTAGTTAGCTAAGACCTGCAGCACCCTCCTATTTTTGAAGGTCTGCCACAGAGGCTGATTATTTTAATAATCACACTGAAGAACTTATAATTTATCAATATTAGAATCAAAACAAAATATTGCATTCTAAAGCTGAACATTTTTTGTAGATGTTATCACAGATCTCTTAAATATGTCCCACTGACACTCGGGGTCCACAGACAAACTAAATGGGAACACTGCCATTGACAACTAGCGACAAAATCCAATTAATCGTGAACAAATATTAAAAAGAGCTTGCTGTGAGTTTGAGACAGGACCTGTGCTGTATTGGAATAATGAAAGTCTGTTGAAGATGCTCTTGGATAACTGTATTATTGATTCTTCTGGTGACTTTGATAGTTAACATTTTTGCAAACTTGTTTGTTTTGTTTTTAGAATACAAGAGAGACAGCTCACTATGAGCCAATTGTTGACACCACAGACCTAGGTAACTTTAAGGGCAGAGGTCATGACAAAACTCCATGACAAAGATGATACACCTAGCAACATGCCAAGAGGCAAGAGGAATTCTACTCCAAAGAACGAGGTTTGTCTGTTTTGTAAACAAACGTAAATAAGTTCCGAATGTGTTTTTGTGTTGTGACTGCGGGTAGAATTGTATGCTGTGACTTGATGCGTCATCTTTTAAATCACTACCAGTGTGAATTATAAAATATTTGTTTTTATTTGTAGACTGAACTAATTTGTGTGTGCAAGCTTCAGTATAAAAAAATAGACTGTTGCTTATATTTTGCTGGATGAAATTTTTCCATTGCTGTACATTTTAAAAGATGTTAAGTGCAAATAAAACTGGCTTAGTCATTTACACTAGCACTATTCTTTATCTTCCGCCTTCACACTTAAAAGGGAAGTTGGCATGTAATGTTGTAGTTCAAAGTTATGCTGCGATATCTACGCCTGTCGGCCCAACACATCATGTTTCAGCAAACCCTTAATGAATCACTTTTTACAACATGCTTGTTAGGGGCAGTAGGTCTGTTGTCTGTTTTTTTTTTTTCTAGAAAGGGACCCAGAATCCACACGGGGCATGGACATTATAATATATTATGTTTATTATGGATACAGTCAGTGTAACCACACTACAGACAGGCTTAGTCTTTGTCAGCACGTATTTAAGTTGTGTTTCTGAAACCCTTACAGCACAGCTGTAAAATGAATGCTGCCATCCGCTCATTCTTCTGTAAAGCATCTTCCAGGAAGACACTGTTATTTGTTCATTTTGAGGACAGGGTGATGAATAGGTAGTAAACTCGTAAACTATAGTCAATAGATTTTATATTGTTTTTATTTAATCATATTTAATTTTGCTAATAAAATTGCAGCGCAGAGCTCAGATTTTGCTAACAAGAAAGAAGACTTCTGATTAGTAACTCATAACTTTACTTAAGTAGGTTTGCTTTCTTTATTTTTGTTTTCAGTTGAGACAGTTTTTGTTACCACCTGTTTTGGTTAATTACTGTTTTGTCTCAATTTGTATTTTTTTGTGTTTCATAATGAGGATTTTGTTTTGTGTGGATTTTGTTCTGTGTGTTTTTTATTTCCTTATAATGATAAAGTATTGCCGTAGTTTGTACCGTTTCTTTTGCTATTTTAGTTTATTGAGCAGAATGTAGAGTTTATAATTGTATTCTTGTTACCATTTATTTCCTACACTTGCTTCCCCTGCCAGCATATTTAAAAAAAATTGTGTGTGTATATGTGTATATATGGGAAAGGGGAGGGGGGATTGAGAGCTTTTGTCCGCATTTTTTTAAAAACATTAGTAACTAACATGTCTACACTATTTAAACTAACATTAAATGTAAACATCATTCGATCCACACTTCTAAAGACAATATTCAGGTTTCGCCTTGTTGAACTTGCTTGGTTCCCATCTGTTAGGTTAATATGTATATAGTTTCTTCCTTTCTCAGATTTTCCTTTTATCTTCTTCTTCTTTCGTTCACCTGAAATAAGTTGTCTATATATATCAGCAGTTTTGTCTCTTGTATAAATTTCACTGTAGTTGTAAGTTCATTCAGTGGATCATAGACTTTACGTTCCTCTGTTGTTCTTTCTCCCCAAAAGATTTGCCTTAATGTGTCAAATTCGATGCAGTTCTGGAGTACATGCTCTGCTGTCTGGGGCACCTTTCCACAGGTGCACATGGCTGATACGCCTATCTTGAATTTTGTGTACATGTGGTTATGTAATCGGTTGTGCCCTGTTCTGAGGTGGAGGATAATGACTTGTTCTGATCTGTCCATAATAAAATAGTCATCTTGTGCTGGGGCTGGTGGTTTCCTGATCGATTTAATGATTCTTTTTTTGGTGGTATGTGACTGTTACATCCGGCTGCACTTTTGTCAACCTTCCCCTGCCATTCGATCAGCTTTCTTATTTCCAGGCACTCCACAATGAGACGGTATCCATTGCATTACGACTCTTGGCTGAAGGCTGAGTTGTGTCAGCAGTGTTTGCAATTCTGGTAGTTTGCTAGACTGGAGGGCTTTAAGTATGGATATTTCATCTGTCAGCATTACCACATACTGTGAGCCAAGATTGGTATTTAGCAGTTTCTCTGTTGCTGTCTTGATAGCCTGGGTTTCTGCATCATAGTTATGGCAGTACTTCCCGGTTGGTACGCTGGACTTATCCCTAGTACCATCTGGAAATTCATCCCCAGTACCATCTGGGAATTCCGTGTACACTCCAGCACCACCATTTCTAACTGCACTTTGTGCGGACCAATCTGTATAGACTCGGACCCATTGTTCTTGTTGGTATTCTCCATCAATATAACTGAGGGTGGCCATTCTCGGTGTACATTATCTTGCTCTTTTTTGTTAAATATTCCTTTCACATTTATCTGGATTTGTACTGTTAGTTTGCATTTTTCTCTCCATGGGGTTTGTTCTGGAATACTGTTAAGTAGACAACCAATTTCTGGAAGGTCAGCAGTTTGTCTACATATTCTTTTTTTTTTATGTATAAGCTGCTTCTTTTTAACCGTCCCAAGGCTAGGTTCTAAAATCTATTTTTCATGGCATGATCTGGCACACTGAGGAACTTTTCAGCTTGTATTTGCAACTTTGTATCTCTGCGTTCTCTCAGTGCCTGTGTTTTCCCAGCTTTCTCCATTTCTAATATGGGTGTTGATTTCATCCCTCCTGTGATGACTCTGAGCGCTTGATTTTGTCCAACTCCTTTAATTTGGTACTAGATGCTGAAAACCATGCAGTTGACCCATTTTCCAAGTGTGGTTGTATGCTCTGCTTGTATACATTATTGAGTATTTTCCCACTGGCTCCCCATGTGGTTCCACTTAGTTTTATTAGGATGGTTGTCTTCTTCCTGGCTTTGGTTGCTGCCTTGTTGATATGTTTTCTCCATGTCAAACTCATTAATTGTAACTCCGATGTACGTGGGCTCTTTATCATCTCTTAATGGTATTCAGTTTATTTTGATGATGCCCGCTTTTTGCTTTGGGGAGAGAGTGAAGAGTGTGGTGCTACATTTGTCTGTGTTGATGCTGACACACCATCTGTTCGCCAATGCCTCAAGTGCATATGTAGCCCGCTGAAGTGTTCTTGTGGCTATCGTTGCATGTTCATTGGTGCACCACAGTACCAGGTCGTCGGCATAAATTGCCATTTTGATTCCATTTTGTAAATCAGCAACCAGTCATTGATGAATAAAAGGAAAAGTGTGGGGGACAGGACACCACCTTGAGGGACGCCTTGTCGCAGTAGAACGTTTTTACTTTTGAAACCATCTACCTGTACCCAGGCTCTTCTGTCATGTAGATATGCTTTAATCCAATTGTACATTTTTCCATTTACTTTATAGTTTCTCAATTTCTTCAGAAGCCCCTCCTTCCAAACCTTGTCAAAAGCTTTCCTTAAATCTATCCATGCCACGAGTACCAGTTTCTTATCTTGAAAAGCATCCTCTATTTCTTGGGAGAAGTATGTTGTCTGGTCTTCCGTAGAGTAAAACTCTCTCTAACCCGCCTGCTACGGTGTAATGATGTTTTCACTTTCAATGTACCACTGCAGTCTGAGGTTGGTGATGCTCTCCATTGTTTTGCAGAAACAGCTTGTCCTGTTGCCCAGCAAGAATTAAATATTTGTAAAAGCTTTGTTTTGGCTACCGTTCCTAAGCTTTTGATAATTTCGTTAGATATACCATCTGCTCCTGGTGAATTCCGTATTATCAGCTTTGAAATGGCCAACTCCAGTTCGTTAAGTGTAATTGGCACCTCTAGCGCCTCTGATGTTATTTCTTTGTATGTATTTTTATTTTTACTTGTTAGTTAGGTTGCTCAGTAGATATTATTTATATGCTGAATAATTGAATCTGTGTGTAAACATCCTTTCTGGACTGACAAGTAAGCATGTGGAGGCTTTATAAGCATAAATGCAGGGTTCAGGGTAATTCAAGGGAAATAAAGTAGGAATCATTGACCTATTTGGTTTGGGCTGCTTCCTAAAATATGTGGGGAAAGAAATAAAACTGAATGAAAAGTATATCAGCAAGCTTTACAATATAACAAACACAATCAAAACATGAATGTTGCGGCTATGGAGCCTTCTTCAGCACATACATTGATTAGACAATACTACACAATATAACATCTTCGTATCTCGTGGCAGCCAGGTCGATGTCAAGCCAATAGTCTGGCAAGGCACGTGGGGCCAGGAAAATAAATATCCCGAGATATGTCAGGGGCTGTCACTCAAGGATAAGATTAAACTGTGTAGACAGTTCAGCTTCCTAGAATTTAGATGAAGCTGTGTATGAGATTCAAAGAATCTCATCCTGGATGTCAAACCAACATGGCACATCTTAGATACCCTGTTGAACCTCCAAAAAAGTTATTAAGTATTATCTTAGTATACCAAGGAGAAGATAAATACATGGGACTAACAACTTGCTGAAACTCAACAAAAACACCGTGCAGCAAGCTGACGAGTGCTCACTATTACTACAGTTCGCGTCCCCATGTCGGACGTAATTTTGTGTTGCTTTAAATCCCCACCCTGGCTGTTGGTGGGGCCCTTATATAACCCAGCCTATGGGTTGAACAGGGTTTTTAGGACCTGTCCCTGGATGATCCTCGTCCTAATGGTGGCACTTTGTGCCACCGGGTGTTTACCACTCGGTGTGATGTCCTCGTGGGGTGAACATCATCATCATGCACATTGTCCTGAAAACAGATCATTAGCCATGCCTGCGACTCCTAATAGCATTAAGGAGAGAAAGACAATAAATATATAGACAGACAGACGGATAGATAGATATATAGGAAAGGTAGGTAGGTAGCTAGATAGATAGATAGACAGACAGACAGACAGATAGATAGATAGATAGATAGCTAGATAGATAGTATAGACCAGATAGATAGATTCAGATAGATAGATAATAGATATATATAGATAGATAGATGGATGTTAGATAGATAGATAGCATAAGGAGAGAAAGACAAAAGATATATATACAGACAGATAGCTGGATGTTAGAATACACCAGCCAGGTGTAGCCTGCAGTCCGGTTCAGGTGTAAGGGATTTGTGGTGATTTGACCTAAAGCCTAATATCATTGATGTGTCACCAAGCACAACTTTGTATGTGGTAAAATAAATATGGTCACAAAGAATAAACTGCACACATTATTGCCATGGCAATCGTGTGGCTGACTTGAACCTTTGGCGGTGAGATGGACAGCATATCTAGAGAAATACGAAGTGATTTTTAATTTTAGTTGAAAAGATTAAACGTTTGTGCTTCATATATGTTGATCTGGTAATCTGGTAATCTGGTAATCCTAGTTTCAGCTTCATAGCTTCACAGCTTCATATATGTTGATGTAATTCAGTAGTAGTGCACCTGACGAGATACAGCAAAACTTACCAGGCAATAAGTTATGAAGTGTATTATTGTTATCTGCTTTGTTTAGATTCCCTATACATAAACATCTTGAATTTGTATGTGTTGTTGCTTTATTTGTATTTTCATTTCAAACTATTTATTTTCTGTGTTAGTTAGGGCTAGTTTGATGTTGCTTTTTTATGTCATTTGCTAAAACCCAATTGTGTGTTGTGTGTACAGAACACTGCTTCCCCCAATAGCTGTGAGTATGAGCCTATAGTTGATATGGCGGACCTTGACAAACGTTTTGGACCTTTACCCAGCGCTAAAGAAGGCAGGAGCCCGTCTCACAGCCATCACGTGAGTGCCTAGGCTTCAAGGACATTCAGTATGCTGGCTGCGGTCCAAACGTTTGCACACCATTATTTGCAGACCTTTATTGCCCTTATAAGCATTTCCCTCTTCCTCTGTGCATGTTCTTTGCTTACTGTGAGGGTACTTTTGCATGCTTATATTTAAATAGCTGTCTTTAACTTATTCACCCCGAAACATTTTTTTTCCTTTACCTCCAAAAAAAAATTCATCTTACGCAGGTCACTAAATTTTTTTTAAAAATTTTGTAAAAAGGAAGTTTCTGCATACATTTTTTGGTGGAATTGTACGCAGATTTATAAAGAGAGTAATTAAGAAAAATACAAAACAGATTGGAGCATTAAATAAATGGCATTCCCTGGGGCCTACAAAAAAATATATGTGTCAGGAAACACATAATGTAGCAACTAACACTGATGTTGAGGGAAAATGTAATATCAACATAACTTGAAAAAATCCCATTGGTTAGCAAAATTCCCTCTCCTCCCCAAATTCTATTTGTAGTAAATATATTCATATCTTGGCCGCTGAAATGCTGCACAGACATGAACAGAACCAGTGACATTAAACTACACATCTTGGAAACATATCACTACAAATATGGAGGTTTTACTGCTTTTACAGGAATGTGGCAGTGCTGGAAATGTCAGCCTTGCAGCTTTCAGGGGTGACAGGGTTAGCTCAATCAGTACCAGTCAGCTCACTGTATTTTTGTTTATTTCAGCAGTAATAGGACTCTTTTTAAGTTCCATAGGACTGTAAGGTTTTGTCACTGAGCAGGCATCCAACAGCAACGCTGATGACTGTAGCCCGATAAGAGAGCGACAGCCTCTGTCGCAATTTCTGCATCTGTAGATTGAGACAGGTCCCGCAATAGGTGACTACAGTTTATACATGTGCCTCTTGTCCTCAATATGTTGGAGCAGGTTGCTCTTAGAGTGCACCACCCTGTTTCACACATCTCTTCTCCAAGTTTATTTTAAAAATACATGCTGTACTTTCAGAACTTCCTGTGACTCATCAATTTGTTACACTCATTACATTCTGGTTCTTATTTTAGTGCCTTCTTTCCCTATAGTATTATTATTTCACCTCCTGAGACCTTTCTTCTTCTTAGCATTCACCTAGCTGTAGACTGACAGAAAGGTCTGGTTGTCATCAATTTCTGAACTTTGTGGTTTTGTTCCAGATCTTGAGTTTTGTATGCACATCTGTTCTGCAGATCTGGTTATTTGTGTGCAGACTGTTGGTTCCTTACCTCTAAGGCAGGTGCACTTTGACTTGAAGGAAACACCTTTGTTTACTCACCTTTTACAGAAAGCTTGTTGGGGCAGTGAGTCTATTCTTTCTTCCTCCAAAACTGGGCCCGGCAACCAACAGGGTAATTCCTCAGACATCCAAATATCAATGTAACAACTTCTTAGACTCTAACAAGTTAATGTAACACTTGCTTAGTACTGAAACTGTTAGGGTAGCAAATGGTCAGGTTAGTCTTTACTGTGAATATATTGGGAAATGATGTCAGCTTTTTAAATGTATTTCTTTTCAACTTTTTAAATGTATTTCTTTTCAACCTCTGCATGCTCTTTCCTTATTTCTAGACAAACGAATGCTAATGTTTGCAATGCATTCATAATTCTGTATGTGTTTAGAATATTTTTGCATGGTGTTTGTGTGAAATGACTAAAGGCTTTTAATTTTAACTGTTTCAGCACCAAATATCTCAGCATTTGTGTATTGTACTCTTGTTCTGATATTCAGTGAAATACAGCTTTTCCTTGGTTACCCCGCTGTTAATCTCTGCATCACATCTTTTTTTCACATGGCGTACATTTCTTAACTTCTCTTTCATACTTCTGTTATAATTAACCCATTCTACTCCAGTTGTGTTATTTTATTCTTTGCCAAATCTTTATTATTTTAACTCCACTAAAGTACAGGAGGAGATTTTTTTGTTATTTGCCTTTTTAGATTTGATCATGTTACAGTGTTGCTTAGGCATTCATACCTCTGCATGGATCTGTCTTTAATGCTCTGGATCAGTTCTATTATTGATGAGTAGCCCTTGTAGTCACCATCATAGACCATCTAAAATCTCAGTCTGTGCCTTTTCTGCCACTGATCTTTCCAGTGATCACAATGTTCTCCAGTGCCTGTATCCTCATCACAACTCTTCTTCTTCGCGCTCATTGGCAGTAAACTCCGGGGTAAGTTCTGGTTGTTTATCCACCTCTGGACTTAAGTCTTGTTCCAGGACCTGAATCTTGTATGCACATTTGTTTAACAGATCTGACTTAATTGTATGCAGATTGTTGGTTCTTTACCTCTTGGGCAGATGAACTCCAACTTTCGAAGGATGTCTCCAGCCCAATTAGTCGACTCTTACGACATGCTTGTTGTAGAGGCGGTGGGTCTATTCTTGTTTTTCCCACAATGGGGTCCCAGAACAAACATGGGGCGCATCATGACCAAGAAGCGCTTTCTCTTATTGTTGTATGTAATGTGTCTTCTCAATTACTCAGTTAGTGTGCTCAGAAAGATAGAAATGCACTGGTTCTGAAGACAATGGTTAACTACTCTGAGATGGTCAGGATTGACAAAGATCAGTTTTGAGTTTCATGCCAGGGCAAGCAGGCATGCAGTAAAATGTACAGACTGATGGGCTTGGAGTTAAGGTTATTGTGAAGGGTGGCCAACCCATGGACCAGGCTGATATACTGAATGCAATAGGAGAAGTAAGACGTTTGTGAGAACCAAGTGACCTTGAATCTACAACCATGACCAGATTGCAAGAACAAGTTAAATGGGGTATGGTCAGACAAGAGCACTACTCAGAAAGAAGGATAAGAAGCGAACACGGAAGTGGTGTCATCAGCAGCTACACACTGCAGGATTTACCGAGGAGGGGATCCAAGCACATATGAATTGAATGGATCAGTGTGCAATGAGGATAATCTGCCGACTAACTACAATGTACTACTTTTATTAGCCTTTCCCAGACGGTCATATTTACTGTGACCAAGAAGGCATTCACAAAATGTACCTCGGAAACCACGCCCTGCTGCCCTTAAATTCTTGTTTATTTTGTTCGTATTTCAAAATTTGCTACAGGATAGCAGAATAGATTTGATATAAACATTTTGTTGTGATTTTTAGTGAAAGTGACTTCAGATATATTTCATTTTCCTTGGCTGTCCTGCTCTTAATCTCTGCCTCAGATCTTCCATAAGTTGTTATTCTTTTTCTTCTTAACTTTCTCTTTTACCACTTAGGGTGTAAAGGGAGATATAAGGTTCTGCTTATTTGCTCTTCCGACGGACCTCAGCCATACACACATCGTGAAAAATTGTTACTATTGTCCTCAAATTTAATAGTATGTTTTTCTGTTTAGAGTCCATGCCGTATGGCGTTGGTAGCCATGTCTGCCCACACCCTTCTGTCTCATCAATACTCTGATATAGATATTTCCCCCAAGCTATGATGTCAAACTGTCCAGCATCTTTTCTCTTGGTCTTCCTCTGCCTCTGCTCCTCTTTAACTTTCCTGCTGTCGTGATGTACCTATTTTCCGCTTCTCACACATGACCAGAGAATGATTTACAGTAATGTTAATTTATTACATTAGTTAAACGATGGATTGCATGCATTAGACATTTTTTTAAGCTAGTGATAATGATGTGGCCAAGAGGTCACCATACTGGTGTCCCTGGCCTCAGAGGGCCCAAGTTCCAATCCGCTGTGAAAAAAGAGATTTTAATTTTCATGTGTGAAATATTCCACTCATACACTTATTGGACTGACAGAAGTGGGGTGTGGCCATCTTAAAACTTAGATGTCACCTTGTTTGACTGCACTGTGATGTCACATGCATAACACTCTTGACATCCTTAACAACAATTTTCACATGTTACAAGACAGTTACATATTTACTGTAATTTCTGTCACATAGTGTTTTCATTTGAAGCCCCCCATACAGTAAATAGCCTGTGCACTATGTGCAGATATTATGTATTCTGTGTGTGGTTTATATACAAGTATTAGATACGATGTAAGCATTATATATCCAGTGTCTGAGTTAAATATAAGCTGTAAATGTAGTGCTGTGGGAAGTATAAAAGGACCAGCATGATGGTGATTACATCACCCCTATCAGATGTATTACTCACCTCACAAATTATATATCCAGTGAATGGTTAACATGCAAGTTATCGATATAATCTAAGCATTATTGTATTGAGTATGGTTTATATACAGGTTGTAGATATAAGTGTAAACATTATTGTATAGAGTATGATTTATATACAAGTTGTAGATATAATGTAAGCATTATTGTACTGAAAATGGTTTATATACAGGTTGTAGATATAATGTTAGCATTATGTATTCAGTGTATTTGTGCACTATTTGTAGAAACCGTCTAAGCCATAAATATTATATGTATAAATTTATTCATGTACATGTTGTAAATGCAGTGTAAAGTAAAATAACTGGTAAAACATTGCAAGATTAATCAGTTTAAACAGCAATCAATTGCAGGTTCTGTGCCTATATCCTATAATTTACAGCAACAGTAAATACACCAGAAGATTGATGCCTACATTATATTTACACATTTCTTATCAACTGTAGACCTAATACAGTAAAACCTTGTTAACAAGTACTTGCATAAAAACAACACTTGGTAAAATTTGTGTCCTTGCAGGAATGTATTATTTTGTGTCCCTGGGTAGCACAGATGGTTTTGTTTTTCTAAAACATAATTTCTTTTTTTTTTTTTTCCTTAATTTTTTTTTTTTTTTTTTTAAATTTTGAATGTGTTATAGTCCGCTCCAAAAGTCACGCCCTCAATATTTAACAAATATCTCGAAAAACCCCTGTATGGACAAAGACACAATTTTTCATGTGGTCAAAGATTTCGAATACTCCTGTGATTTTATAATATAAAATTGCACAGGTGCTACTGTTTTCTTAAAGTGGCAAATTTCTTTAAGCTTTGTCAGACTGATAATGTGTGTGCCCCTAAATAATATAATCTACACTAATTGACCCAAATTGTTTACTTTAAACCACAAACATGGAGATTGTTTTGGATAGCATTTTGTATGCGCAGTGATATGTAGTGATTATTTTGATAGCCTTCCTGCATACAATGAAATATTATGTTCTTGTAAATTGGGGTCTGTTTTTCATATACCAAACATAAGGCGCCCCCCCCCCCCCCCCCCCCAAAGGGATGTTTGTTTACATTATAATAATTTACCTAAAAGGACATAATTATCACTACGTTGTATGCTGAATTTCAGCAATTTATATATAAAGGTTGCTGAGTTACATATTTTTTAAGTGGGGCATGACTTTTACAGACTATAACAAGGTTTTACTGTATATAATTTTTTGCATTGTTTTTTTTTTTTTTGGGAAGCTGTGGTTGTGCAATGGCCTGATGCTTGCTTGGTAGAGGGTTCAAATCCCCATTGAAGTAGATTTAAAAAAAAATTTGACTTGGGCTCTCAGGTTGATCCAGCCTAAAATTAGTATCAGGAAATGTCAGGGGAAGTAAAAGGGACCAGCATTATGTGGATTACATCACTCATCACATATTGATTGGTCTGTACAAAAATATATATTTAGGACTATGTGCCTAGAGTGCCATTTTTTTTATATCAGCTTCACTGGAGTAACTTTTATTCAAATTATTCTTTACCCTTCCCCCCCCCCCTTAAGAAAACTCTTGAAACATGACCTTTTTCCAAAATTTCATTAAAAAGAAAAGCATCATTTTAATTCTCTGCTACACTACCCTGAGAAACTGGAAAAAGCAGAAGAAATTTGGAATCTTGGTCATTTTTATAATAATGCCAGGTGTAGAAAGATATGACCATCAAGCAGACAGGTAAGGTAGCTAGCTCTTGTGTGGGAGCTAAAAATTAACTGCTTTTCCTCTCTTTGACCACGGAAGCAGGGGGTTTAGCTGCAGAGAGCAAAGTGACACCATCATATGTTTATTATGATGTCAGTAACTTTAAACAAAAAATTTGTTTTTTCTACTCCAAACTAATATCTCACATTTAAAACAAAAATAAATTTTAATATAATCCACCATGTTTACAAACTATGCAGTTGCAGCTGGTACCAAAGCTGTTGTATATGCGTATTTGTCATTGCCCACAGATATGGTGATGTCAGAAACCCTTAAAAGTCAGAAAATTGGCTTTCTTAGGGCCCCACTGTTAAGTGCTAATATTGCTCAATACCTGCATTGTCAGATTCAAACTTTTACTGGATCAACTTTTACATAACTATTCCTCCCTGTGGTGCTTGAGTGCAGGAGTAGAAGATGATGATGTTGACTGAATCGAAGTGAAATGTTTTGTATTATTTATGCTTGCAGTCTGGGGATTCACGCCGTGCCTCTGGACGAGCATACAGGGGAAGGTTCCAAGATGATGAAGTGAGTGTTTATTGCAGTCTCTGTCTCCATTCTGTTATCTTGCATTACTTCAGTTTGCATTCTTGTTAGTAAGTAAATGACCCTTTTCAAGCCAATGATGTTGCAGGCATATGATGCTACTCATATTTGTATAGACTGATCACCATCCTGTGAGTGATGTTGACATCATGTCTGCCATCTTCACTTTCTAGACATTTCCCGAACACATTTTAGGGCTAGTTGGATAAAGCCAGTGTTAAATTTTTTTATTTTTAAATGTGTTGCTTGCGGATTTGAACCCAAGAATGTAGGCAGGCAGTCGTCTACTGAGCTGATGCTTTGGTTTAATATCCTTGCCATCTTCTTCTTCTTTGCATTCACCATTTGTAAACTTAGGTGAAAGTTCTGGTTGTTTGTCCACTTCTGAACTCTAGTCCTGTTCCAAAAACTGAGTGTTTTGTGCTCATCTGTTTCACAGGTCTGACTCATTTGCTCCCAGTTATTCGACTCTTATGACATGTATTTGGGGAGGCAGGGAATCTATTATTGTTTTCCCCTCAATGCAGCTGCTGAACTCACGTGGGGATATTCTTACAATGATAGTGTATTCTTTTGACAATTCAGTTTTATATGTTTGCTGAGATAATGTAACATCTTCTTATTTCATTTTAAAACTCTTGCTGTGATAGTTTAACTTCTTGTTACGTAAGTTTATTTTGGCTATAACATTTTAGTATCAAGTGCTACTTCAGACATATGATTATGTTATGATAGTTTATTATCTGTTTTACTTCAGTTTAATAATAATTTGTGGCACTGTTGTATCTGTATTCCACCATTCCACACTTCATTCTGAATAGTATTAGACATGAATGAACACAAATATTACTGGAAAGCTCGACAAAGATACACAGACACAAGCAAAAATTGTACCCTTTTTATGCATTTATCTAAAAGTATGGTTGCTACATCGTGTTGTTATAGCTAGGCAGCAATTTCTGCGCCTTTCAACTGAATGCATTCAATTGTCACCAAACTCTTAATTAGTCTTCGTTTAGGTCATGCTTGTAAGGGAGCAGTGGATCTATTCTCATCTCCTCCCAAAAATGGGGTCCTGGAACCCACATAGTGGGTTCATTTTATTTTTTGTCTGTGCTGGTCTTATCTGCCCCAAGTATATCTTATGCATGGTTTAACCTTCATGCAACCAGAGTGGCAATTGTTTCAGTTATAATCAGAAGTATGTTTTTAATGTTTGTAGTCTGTTGATGGGCAACAAGCAGCTGGAAGATCAAACAAGGGGAAGCTGAAAGATGAGGAGGTGAGCCAGTTGTTGTATTCTTCAAGTTGTCTGTATTTTACCACCCACACTATAGCAGTTCATGTTTTAACACCCACACTATGGCAGTCTACTAGTTAATATTTAACACCCACACTATGGCAGTCTACTAGTTAATATTTAACACCCACACTATGGCAATCTAACAGTTAATATTTAACACCCACACTATAGCAATCTAACAGTTAATATTTATCACCCACACTATAGCTGCCTACAGGTTAATGTTTAACACCCACATTTTAGCAATCCACCAGTTCATGTTTAACACCCACAATGTAGCAGTCTACTAGTTCGTATCTAACACCCACTATGTAGCCTTCTAGTTCATGTTTAACACCCACACTATAGCATCTACCAGTTCATGTTTAACACCCACACTATAGCAGTCTACCAGTTCATGTTTAATACCCACACTATAGCAGTCTACCAGTTCATGTTTAATACCGACATTATAGCAGTCTGTCAGTTAATATTTAACACCCACACTGTAGCAGTACCAGTTCATATTTTACACCCACACTATAGCAGTCTACCAGTTCATGTTTAATACCGACATTATAGCAGTCTACCAGTTCATATTTAATACCGACATTATAGCAGTCTACCAGTTCATGTTTAATACTGACATAATAGCAGTCACCAGTTCAAATTTTACACCCACACTATAGCAGTCTACCAGTTCATGTTTAACACCCACGCTGTAGCAGCCTACCAGTTCATGTTTATTTAACACCCACACTATAGTAGTCTACCAGTTTATGTTTACCACTCACACTACAGCAGTCTACCAGTTAATATTTACCACCCGCACCATAGCAGTATACTGTTTAACACTCACTCTTTTTCAAGCTATCTGTCATTTGTCTGTTTGCGAGTGCATATCACAAAGCATGAACTCTGTTGCTCCACCAAGCAACCTCCTGGAATCTCAGGAATAATGATAGTAGGAATAATAAAATGTAATCTTCAGGCTGTAAGAATCCAATATGAAAATAAATATATAACACAAATTGAGGAATCACCACTTACTTCACCCCAACTTTGTAGCCTCCGTTGTTTTTATTTTTTATTTTGTACTTTTATATATTTCTGGGGACATGATGGCTTGAGATTATCATCACGTCCTGGTGTCAGTTGTAATATTTTTCCATGACTGCATATCTTCTGTGTTCTTGTCATGTTTTACCTGTTGATTGTTCTATGCCCATCTCCACACTTTTTGAACCCACACTGTGTTAGCCTAACCTTTGTTTTAGTGATTCTCTATTTTTTCCTCTTGTATGATATTTATCACAATCAACATTACCACTTGTTGGGCATTCCCATGCACACTTAGTCTTCTGATACAGCAGCCACCCCAAGATATCTCTACTAATTGCCCCATAGTAAGTCAGTGTAACATCTGTTTTGATCTCGAAGATGACACCAACATGCTTCTCGAGGTTTCACTCCAAAGTCATATAATTGTGTGTAGTGTCTGAGATTTTTTGGTCAGTCTCATCCATATAGCATTAATAATATCAGCTCTATTCATGAATCTTTCTGCATACACTGTTGTAATATTTGCTAGCTGGCCCGCTGGATCATAACCTTATACTTTGAGATAAAATAAACACCATAAGATATTTAAATTATAAGATTCTTAATAGTTATATTAATTGGAACATATCACTCTTATAGGATTTTTTACTAATTAATGAACAAGCTGTTTCACATATGTATTTTTTTTAAAACAAATTAATGATGGCAAATTTGAAACATATGAATTACTTTTGGGTACTGTTTTTTTTTTTTATTTTCCTTATTATTTCCTTGCCTTTTTGTTGTGTATTCTGGCAAAAGACTCCATCTGCATGTAGTAATTTTCAAGATATTCATTTAAATTTATACTCTTGCACTTTAAATTTTCTGTGTGCAGTCTGGTGATTCTCCCCAAACCCCAGGACGGACATACAAGGGCAGGCACAAAGATGAGGAGGTGAGTTTGTAATGTAACCATGAAGTGTCTCCAGTTTAATACCTGCACTATAATTGTGTAATAACCATGGTATCACAGTTCTTGAAAGCATGATTTATTGTTTTAAAATTAGGATAACAATGTGGAAACATTGCTTTAAGATATAATTGTTTAATATCCTAGTAGTCACACAGTAATGTAGATGTGAGAAAAGTCCTAATTGTGGGTTTCATCACAATTTGACATTAAGATAGGTAAAAGAAAGTAAAGGACCCTTCTCAAGGCTTATAAGGCTAGAACTATATTGTATAGCCAATCAGCACTCAGTGGGGGATATGGTCAACATCACACCAGCCGCCTTCACTTCACAGGCAGGACTTTACTGATTTATACCCATTAAATAGACCTACAACAGATTGCAACGAACCGCCATGCATGGAGAGTCATGACCTCTGCCCTATGTGCCGCACTTGACACAAGAGGAAAGACTAACTAACTAACTAACTAACCCATTAAAGGCTGGGTCAATCTGGGAGCCAAGGCCATTTTTGAAAAAAAGTCTGGTTCCATCAGGGTCTAAAACCATGACCTTCAGATCCGCAGTCAGGCATCTAGCCTTTACACCACTGCAGTTTCTTTACATTATTAAAATACACTGTTTAATATCAAAGCAGTCGTAGCTGATTATCCATCTCAAAGTGTTAAATGTATGCTTCCCAAAATTTCACATTAAGATACTAATGTTTAATATCAGAGCAGTCGTAGCTGATTATTCATCTCAAAGTGTTAAATGTATGTTTTACATTAAGATACTTAATTACTTACTTAGTCGCTTCTCTTCTACATTGGGGTGTGGAGGTTTGCCAGAGATATTGCCAGACATCTCTATGTGCAGTTGTCTTTCTGGCTTTGTTCTATTCCAGTCCTCTGTTAGTTAGGGACTGTTGGATGTTGTCTTCCCAGCGGATCCTGGGTCACCCTGGAGGCCTTATCCTTGGTTCTTAGCCTCCATGCCTGCCATGGCGGCCGATTTTCTCCCATTCTGCGTACATGTCCAAACCATCGTAGCTGTGACTGATCCACTTGGGTTTGTAAGGCCTGGGTATCAAGATCTTGACGTATTGCCTGATTACGGACTTTGTCCCTTCTTGTTACTTCGACCACCTTTCTCAGATATCTCATTTCTGAGACCTGATCATGGCTTCTGTGACCTGTTGTCATTGCCCATGACTCACACCCATAGATCAGAACTGGTACATAGGTAGAGCAGTAAACTGCCATTTTTGTCCCTTTGCTGATTTCTCTTTTGCTAAGAAACCCTCAGTTTGTGGCCTGGATGTCTCCCAGTAGCTGCTTTTCATGTAGCCAGCTTAGTCTTAATGCCTCCTTTATGGTCTAATACAACTCCTAGGTATTTGAATGCTCCAATGCATACTGTCCCATCATGATCTGGTGATTCTTCTTCCCTCTTGAGATCACTGTGGTTTTAGTTTTAGAGATACTGATGATCATCCCTCTCTTTTCAAGCTCTTCCTTCCAGACAGTCACATTAAGCTACCACTGTTTAATATCCAAGCAATCATAGCTGATTATCCATCTCAGAGTATTAAGTGTATGTTTCAGTACACATTAACATTAAGATACCACTGTTTAATATCCAAGCAGTCATAGCTGATTATCCATCTCAGAATATTAAGTGTATGTTTCAATACACATTAACATTAAGATACCACTGTTTAATATCCAAGCAGTCATAGCTGATTATCCATCTCAGAGTATTAAGTGTAGGTTTCAATACACATTAACATTAAGATACCACTGTTTAATATCCAAGCAGTCATAGCTGATTATCCATCTCAGAATATTAAGTGTATGTTTCAATACACATTAACATTAAGATACCACTGTTTAATATCCAAGCAGTCATAGCTGATTATCCATCTCAGAGTATTAAGTGTAGGTTTCAATACACATTAACATTAAGATACCACTGTTTAATATCCAAGCAAAACAATATAATTTTTGCCTTGAGTACATGTATCATAACTTAACACGGATACCCGATCATGAAAATTCACAAGGGGCCAAATAATGATGCTTTTGTTCTTGTTTTCCTAATAGTACAATGAAAAAGTGAGTGAATAAACCAAGAACCAACATCTCTACACTCAGGACATTCCTATACATGCTCTGTCTCCTTCTGTAGCCAGTGTTTTTATACTGATGGTGCCAGTTGGTATTTCTTCTTTTTTAGAGTTCAGTGGCTGTAAATTCTGCTAGAAAGTCTGGTTGTTAATCTACTTCTGGACTTTGTATTGAGTATTGCATGCACATCCGTTTTACAGATCTGGCTTATAAGTTTGCAAATGTTGGTTCCTAGCCTTTTAGGCAGATGCACTATGACTTAAAAAGCAAAACCCCCAATTAGTCACTTTTTACGCACTTGCTCTGTTCTTTGTCCCGCTAAGTAGGGGCCCCAGAGCAGCTGGGTAGCAGCTGGATTTGAACTCTGTTACGTTGGGATTGTGAAACTTAGTTCACAACTCCAAGGCCCCAGATCTAAGCTCCCTTGTTTTGAATACCTCACTTTCCCTGTATGGGTTCCGGGGCCCCATTGTAGGGGAAAACAAGAATAAACCCACTGCCTCCCCAACAAGCATGCTGTAAGAGTTGACTAATTGGGGGTTTCCTTCAAAGTCTGAGTACGTGTGCCTGAGAGGCAGGGAACCAACAGTCTGCATACAATAAGACAGATCAGTAAAAGAATGTGCATGCAACACTCAGGTTCTGGAACAAGTCTAGAGTCAAGGGGTGGATGAACAACCAGAACTTTCTTCCAGAGATTATAGCCGGTGAACACCAAGAAGAAGAAGAATACCTCACTTAATTAACATCCAGGTTACCAATATTTCCTATCCATATTTAAACAAAAATAGGTTGGTCCTTTAGCAGTTACTACTGTTGGGGTGCACAGTGTTGAGCTTCCATTCATTTTAAGCCACATTTCACAAGGTAGGATGGCCAGGTACTTCCTTGTTGCTTTTTCCTTTCACAGGCGATTCCCAGTCATGTATCTTCCAGAGCTGTATGGGTCAGAAAAATATTCCTGGCTCTACTGTGAATAGAACTTGGACCTTTATCTTAGTAGGCAACATCTAACCACTGCTCCAGTGTTCATAATATCTTAGTTTTAAATATACTCCACCACAACTTGAAAATGTGCTTGATTTGTGTTTGTCAGAACTAAACATTTCTGATGTATTCCTCCAGTCTGGGGAGACACCATATGGGTCAAGCCGAGCATACAAGGGAAGAGTCATGGACGATGAAGTAAGAAATTCATTATGGATAATTTTTATGCTGTAGACAAGAGGCGTTCGAAAGTAATGGACCACATATTTTTCTCAGCTAACAAAAAAGATAGCGCTAGAAGCATGACATTTTGCACACTTCATAGCATATGCCGATTGTGCATACCAAGTTACACTACAACCAGCCAGTTAATATCGCTGCCCTAAACCGTTAAAATGGAGTGTGTTAACTTGTAGTGTAAGCAGAGAATTGTGATAGAGAATTTCTCATTGCAGAGAAGGAAACTGTTGTGAACATTCACAAGCATCTGTGTGATGTGTGTGGAAGTTTTGCAGGCGACAGGAGTGCAGTCAGTCGCTGGGTTCAGAAGATCAAAAATCTGGAAGTGGAGATACAGAGCGGCTTTATTGGTTGCGCTGTGAATATCCTGTCACAGCCACCAGTGTAGATATGTTGAAATGCACTGCTAAACAATTGGCCTTACAGCTGTCGGTCAGCAATGGGAGTGAAAATGCAATTTTTTTTTTTTAAACTAAAAAAAAAAAAAAAAAAAAAAAAAAACTAGGATTTTCTAAGATCTGTGCAAGATGGATTCCTCAAAGTCTGACAAATGGCCACTGAATGCAGAGTAAAACAATTCTGAATTGTTGGAGCAGTTTTAATGCTGATGGAGAGAACATTTTGACACAGATCTTTACAGGTGACAAAACCTGACCACAACATTTTGAACTTGAGTCAAAAAGACAGTCAGTGGAGTAGCATCATCTGCAGTCACCACAAAGGAGGAATTGCAGAACTACTCCTTCAACTGGAAAGGTCATAATCACTGTCTTTTGGGACATGGAAGGTGTGATTTTTGTGGATTTTATGCCAAGCTTACATTAAGACATTTTAAAAAAAGTTAGTGTTTTTGCAGAGTTCAACAGCACAAGAATTCAGCAAACTGCTACTCCTTCATGACTGTACATGCCATCACAGTAGCCTGGCAACAGGGGAAGCACTCACCAAATAGGGTGGGACTATACTACCCCATCCAATTTGCCAGCCTCTGATTTTCCTCTGTTTGGTCCAGTTAAAGATTCTGTCAGTGGGACAAGGGAAAATTATAAAGCGATTCATGCAGCAAAGTATCTACAGGATCAAGACCAAATCTGGTACAGGCTAGGAATACATACACTTGCTTCATGCTGGCATAAAGTCATACAAGTTGATGAGGATTCAGTTGAATAATACAAATACCAGGGTTTACATCACGTATCCCTGAATATTGTTAATAAATTTTATGCTTTTTAAATTACAGCTTCTGAGAAAAACGATGTGGTGCATTACTTTCTGAACACACCTTGTTCTTCTTCTTCTTCACCAGCTGTAAACTTCGGTGGAAAGTTCTGGTTGTTCATCCACTTCTGGACTGCAGTCCTGTTCCAGAACCTGAGTGTTGCTTATGAGTCCATTTTACAGATCTGACTCATTTGTATGCAGACTGCTGGATCCTTGCCTCTCAGGCAGATGCACTCTGACTTTAAAGGATGCTCCCAATTAGTCGACTCTTGTGACATGCTTTTGGGTTGGCAGTCGGTCTCTTCTTGTTTTTCCTAAAATAGGGCCCCGGAACCTACACAGGGAACACCCCTTGTAAATTGTCACATTTTAGTACCACGTGTCATCACAGTTTATTATATATATCACCAGTGTTTATTATTGTTGCCATAATAGTTAATTCTTTACACCACCACTATCATTTTTGTTATCATTTTATTATCTATATTGGTTATTGTTTGTATCAACCTGTGTATTATTCATGGCATAATAGTAAATTTTATATCTCCATGTTTATTATTCTTTCCATTGCAGTTTCATATTTATAGCGCACATGTTACTTTTTGTTGCCATCAGCGTTTATTATTTAAACCACTACTTTTGATTATTTTAGCCATTATATATTATTTTTATATGTCACTACTGCTAGCTATCAATCAAAGGGTGATAGCTATTCTATTGCAGTTCTAAATTCTTATCAGCATTAACCATTTTGTCCTGAGAAGCAGATATTTTTGTTTCACTATCCTTTACAAATCCCAGAGTAATATTTTGGCTTCACTGCATTGGTCAGTCCTCAGCAAGTGTTTATATAGGTGTTGGCACTGTTTACTACTGCGCCTCTGTTTAGATGGGTCGGTATATTTACTGGGAAGGAAAGCATTTGATGGGTTTTTATTGTGAAGAAAGTTTTCTTTTTAATTATAATGTGTTTTTTTTAGTCTTAATGATGAAGCTTTCCTTTTTATGTCATAATCACATTTAAACCTTCATTTTTAGTAGTGCATTAATTAATTTATTTTGTTTACTAAGTCAGTGCAGCTGTATAATTCTATACTGTGTTTGCATTTTATGGATTATTTCCTTTCAATATTTCTAAACAATTAAAAAAATTTGTTTTTATACATAGATGAATTATTTAGCATTGCAATGGCTAGCAAGCTTGCCTGTCTGTTCAGTGGTCGTGGGTTGGAATTTTTTTTTTTTTGTAAATAAAAACTAACTTGGACTTCTAGGTTTGTATTCTCTTCCTCTAGTTTCCTACTTAGAACTACAGAGGATGGGTTCGTTCTAATGTGTTTTCTGATTTTATCAGGTTCTTCTCCTCAGGAATACTGGGTTCAGGACAGTTTTGTTCAGTAATTTTCAAGGTTGAATTTTCGTATTTCATTCATCAGGTCAGTCAGCTCAAAGACTGGTGTTGATGCTATATTAGTTAGTTAGTTAGTCTTTCCTCTTGTGTCGAGTGCGGCACATAGGGCAGAGGTCATGACTCTCCATGCATGGCGGTTCGTTGCAATCTGTTGTAGGTTGATGCTATATGGTCATAGCATAATTCTCGTCAGCTTTGTATATCTGAGCCTCTTTGTAGCTTGTTTTATACTTTTTTCTAAGATGCCATTTTTTGTCCTCTCCTGAACCTTGCCTTTCCGTATTGTTTGGTAGTAGACCTCCATATGTTATTTGTAACCAAATCAACATTTGTGTGTGTGTGTGTGAAGCTCAGTAGTTGTCTGTTTTGTAATATATTTATACTATAACAGTTTAATGTACGTGCTATGAGAGTTTAATATCCATGCTAAGAGAGTTTAAGATCTCAGCTGTGAGTTAAGTTGGGCTAAGAACTAACATAACAGTACTTAAGACATTTCCTTGAGCGCTCTGCCCCATCATCAGCAGCCAGCACAGAGTTCCCATTCCAATTGTACCAGTAGAAGTTTGATCTTTGCTATGAAAATTTACTATCCCTGATATCACATTTTAAATTCCTTGGAATTACAGAACTAAATCTGAGTTTTAATATCTGCAGTCTGGAGATACACCAAATACCTCTGGTCGAGCATATAAGGGGAGGCTTAAAGATGATGAGGTAAGTATCCATTGCAGTCTCTGTAGTTATTGTGAATGCTGCCTGAGTTTAATATCTGTTCTGCCACAGTTTATATCCATGCTCCACAGTTTAATGCCCACGTTGCCACTGTTAAATATTAACTCCATGTTTTAGTGCTTTTTAAAACTCGTGCTCTCAAACTTTTTACAAAAAAAATGGAAAACTGTACGGATCAACACAAATTTGTGCATGTGGCTTTAGATTTCTCATGTCCTTATGATTTTGTATTTTACAATTGCACAGGTGCTGCTTTTTTCTCAAAGCATCACATTTATATTATCTTCTTTGTACTTACTTACTTAGTCAATCCTTTTTTACCTTGGGGTGAAAAGGTTTGCCAGAGAGATGGCCAGATTTCTCTGTCAGCAGTTTTTTTTTTGGCTTTGTTTATTCCAGTCCTCTGTCAGTCAGGAACTGTTGGATGTTTACTTCCCAGGGAACCCTGGGTCACCCTGGTTGTCTTGTTCGCTGGTTCTTGGCCTGCCATGGGGGTCGACTCTCCCCCATTCTGCACACATGTCTAAAACATTGTAAATATGATTGATCCACTTGATTTTGTAGGACCTTGGTTCCAAGATCCTCGCATATTGTGTGATAATGAACTTTGTCCCTTCTTGTCACTTGGACCATCTTTCTCAGATATCTCATTTCTAAGGCATGAAGCTGTTTTCATCGCCCTAGACTCATACCCATAAGTCAGGACTGGCACATAGGTAGAGTGGTAAACAACCATTTTCATCCTCTTAGCTGACATTTCTATCCGGAATGTTTACGAGACGCCATTAGCTGTATTAACACCTATGCAGCATTGGGGGTGTCTTGTGAATCAAGTGTTTTTTTTTTTTTTAAAAGCCATATTAACATATAATTTGTCACATTTCCTCTTTACCCCCAGAAACAGAGGTCACTGCATGAGTCACTTATATATATTTTTTAGGTCCCCAGGAAACGTATATTCCATTAAATGCTGTTTTAGCCCCCCCCCCCCCCCCCCCCCACGATACCACAATTTAACATCCAAGCTTTTGTAGTTTAAAATCCATGTTACAGTAGTTGCAGATTGATGCTTTCACAGTTGGGCCCTTGATAGGATTGTTACCTGTGTGGGTACCGGGGCCCTATTGTAGAGAAAACAAGAATAGACCCACTGCCTACCCAAAAGCATGTCGTAAGAGTTGACTAATTGGGAGCTTCCTTCGAAGTCGGAGTTCATCTGCCTGAGAGGCAGTGAACCAGCAGTGTGCATACAAATTAGTCAGATCTGTCAAACGGATGCACACACACCATTCAGGTTCTGGAACAGGACTATAGTCCAGAAATGGACGAACAACCAGGACTTTATAGCTGGTGAACGCGAAGAAGAAGAAGATAGGATTGTTGTTAGTGCCTTTGCCTGCCAAAAGAGTTGTCTCTGGTTCAATCCCTAACATAGGCTGGATTGTTTTTCCAACCAGTTTTTTGTATGTGTTTTTGTTTTAAATAATGCTCAGTATTTGTCTGTTTTCTGATATTTACTCTGTAACAGTTTAATATGGTTGCTATGAGAGTTTGTAATCTATGCTATCACAGTTTAAAAAACCACAGTTACAGTTGAATATTTACACTGTAATAAGGGTGCGACATTTACCTTTTCTAATTTGAAAAGTTAACGCAATTATTGTACACAGCAGTAAATACAACTGAACATAGTTTAAGTAAATCAGCATCTTGAACTCACAAAGCAGGCCTCATGTCTTAAATACAAGTCTTGGAGGAGATGTAATCCATGACAGTCATGGCATTGCTGCCATCACCCTGACACACTTGCCATGACATGATGTAGAGGCCTGCCTGAATTAGTAATCTTCTAATGAACTACATTTGTAAGGCTGGTAATGTCAGGGATGGTGTGAGTATGATGGTTTGATGGTGTGTGTGTGATGATTTGATGGTGTGTGTGTGATGGTGTGAGTATGATGGTTTGATGGTGTGTGTGTGATGATTTGATGGTGTGTGTGTGATGGTTTGATGGTGTGAGTATGATGTTTTGATGGTGTGTGTGTGATGATTTAATGGTGTGTGTGTGATGGTGTGAGTATGATGGTTTGATGGTGTGTGTATGATGATTTGATGGTGTGTGTGTGATGGTGTGAGTGTGATGGTTTGATGGTGTGTGTGTGATGGTTTGATGGTGTGTGTGTGATGATTTGATGGTGTGAGTATGATGGTTTGATGGTGTGTGTGTGATGGTTTGATGGTGTGTGTGTGATGGTTTGATGGTGTGTGTGTGATGGTTTGATGGTGTGTGTGTGATGGTTTGATGGTGTGTGTGTGATGGTGTGAGTGTGATGGTGTGAGTGTGATGGTGTGTGTGTGATGGTTGGATGGTGTGTGTGTGATGGTTGGATGGTGTGTGTGTGATGGTTGGATGATGTGTGTTTTGGTGATGTTTTATTGTTGTGTGTGTGTGATGGTGTGAGTGTGTTGATGTGTGTGAGTGTGATGGTGTGTGTGTGATGGTTGGATGGTGTGTGTGTGATGGTTGGATGGTGTGTGTGTGATGGTTGGATGGTGTGTGTGTGATGGTTTGATGGTGTGTGTGTGATGGTGTGAGTGTGATGGTGTGTGTGTGTGATGGTGTGTGTGTGTGATGGTGTGTGTGTGATGGTGTGTGTGTGATGGTGTGTGTGTGATGGTTTGATGGTATGAGTATGATGGTTTGATGGTGTGTGTGTAATGGTTTGATGGTGTGTGTGTGATGGTGTGTGTATGATGGTTTGATGGGGGGTGTGTGTGTGATGGTTTGATGGTATGAGTATGATGGTTTGATGGTGTGTGTGTGATGGTTTGATGGTGTGTGTGTGATGGTTTGATGGTGTGTGTGTGTGATGGTTTGATGGTGTGTGTGTGATGGTTTGATGGTGTGTGTGTGATGGTTTGATGGTGTGTGTGTGATGGTTTGATGGTGTGTGTGATGGTGTGAGTGTGATGGTGTGAGTGTGATGGTGTGTGTGTGATGGTGTGTGTGTGATGGTTTGATGGTGTGTGTGTGATGGTTTGATGGTGTGTGTGTGATGGTTTGATGGTGTGTGTGTGATGGTTTGATGGTGTGTGTGTGATGGTTTGATGGTGTGTGTGTGATGGTGTGAGTGAAAACTTGAGATTTCAAATGCACCCATAAGAAAGATAAGTCTGCTGCAGTGAGGTCTGTGAAGAGAAGGATCACTGGGCGTCACCAGACCAAGAGAAAAGTCATCTGGGGAATGCAGCATATAGGGTGTTCATTGAGAATTGTGCCATATGGGCATGGCACCTATGTGGTTATAACATTCAGCGCTTGCTGTCACAGAGACACCAACATCACTGTAGAAAAAGTAGGACCTGACAATTTGTGAAGTTAAATGCAGCGCTCTATAGTTTATTATTTGCTTTACAGTTGTAATAGAATACTTAACATGTTGGAATCAGAACTAAACCTTAAATTTAATATCTGCAGTCTGGTGATACACCAAATGCCTCAGGACGAGCATACATGGGAAGGCTTAAAGATGATGATGTAAGTATCCATGTTGCGATTTCTGCTCATGCTGCCACAATTTAATATGCCTACAACAGCACTTCAGAATTCATGCCTCAGCAGTTTAGTATCCATGCCGCAGCAGTTTAGTATCCATGCTGCAGCAGTTTAGTATTCATGCCGCAGCAGTTTAGTACCCATGCAGCAGCAGTTTAGTATCCATGCTGCAGCAGTTTAGTATTCATGCCGCAGCAGTTAGGTACCCATGCAGCAGCAGTTTAGTATCCATGCCGCAGCAAATTACTATCCATGCCGCAGCAGTTAGGTACCCATGCAGCAGCAGTTTAGTATCCATGCCGCAGCAAATTACTATCCATGCCGCAGCAGTTAGGTACCCATGCAGTAGCAGTTTAGTACCCATGCAGCAGCAGTTTAGTACCCATGCAGCAGCAGTTTAGTATCCATGCCGCAGCAGTTTAGTACCCATGCAGCAGCAGTTTAGTATCCATGCCGCAGCAGTTTAGTACCCATGCCGCAGCAGTTTAGTATCCATGCCGCAGCAGTTTAGTATCCATGCCGCAACAAATTACTATCCATGCCGCAGCAGTTAGGTACCCATGCAGTAGCAGTTTAGTACCCATGCCGCAGCAGTTTAGTATCCGTGCAACAGCAAATTAGTATCCATGCCGCAGCAAATTACTATCCATGCTGCAGCAGTTAGGTACCCATGCAGTAGCAGTTTAGTACCCATGCCGCAGCAGTTTAGTATCCGTGCAGCAGCAAATTAGTATCCATGCCGCAGCAAATTACTATCCATGCTGCAGCAGTTAGGTACCCATGCAGTAGCAGTTTAGTACCCATGCCGCAGCAGTTTAGTATCCGTGCAGCAGCAGTTTAGTACCCATGCCGCAGCAGTTTAATATCCATGCCACAGCAGTTTAATATCCATGCCACAGCAGTTTAGAATCAATGCTGCAGAAATTTATAATCAATGCTGCAACAGTTAGGATCCATGCCACAGCAGTTTAGTATCCATTCTGCAGCAGTTTAGTATCCATTCCACAGCAGTTTAGTATCCATGCCACAGCAATTTAGAATCAGTGCTGCATCAGTTTAGTATCCATGCCACAGCAATTTAGAATCAGTGCTGCATCAGTTTAGTATCCATTCCACAGCAGTTTAGTATCCATGCCACAGCAATTTAGTATCCATGCCACAGCAGTTTAGAATCCATGCCACAGCAGTTTAGAATCATTGTGGCAGCAGTTTAGAATCAGTGCTGCAGTAGTTTAGTATCCATACCACAGCAGTTTAGAATCAATGCTGCAAAAGTTTAGTATCCATGCTGCAACAGATGTGTATCCATGTTGCAACAGTTGTGCATCCATACTGCAGCACTTTATAATCCACACTACATCAGTTTAGTATCCATGTTCCATAAGTTTGGTATCCATGCCACAGCAGTTTTGATCCCCATGCTGCACCAGTTTAATATCCATTGGATAATATCCATGACCTTAGCTTCCAGGTTAATCCAGTCTAAAATGGGTACCAGTTAAAATTCCTGGGAAGTAAAGGCAGCTGGCATGATTGATATTGATCACATCACCTACCGAGTGCTGATTGGTAAAAAAAAAAGATATAGGCCTAGCACTATACTTACAGTGTGCCTTATGGCTTATGAAAGGGTGCTTTGCTTTACAGTTTAATATCCATTATAGCAAATACTTTTTACCAAGCTGTTTGAAGTTTACTATCCATGCTACTACAGTTGAACATCCATACTACCATAGTTTGATATCCTTACCTCCACATTTTGACAACCAAGCTGTTATAGTTTAATATTTTTGCCAGTGAACCCACCATGTGTTTATTGATTACTGCACACATGAAATGTCTTTTCTAAAGCTCAGTTTGAAATGTTGTTCGACCAGATGTCAACGCTACAACTTATGTCTACCGAGTCGATCGGGTGGCTGAAGGCTGAACTTGTGGACTTAGAACATCAGTACCGCATAACGCCGTCAAAACAAATGTGCCCGCTAACCCCCGAACATATCACAGAGCTAAAGGCACTCAAGGCCAACAAGCACATAATAATTCTGAAACCAGACAAAGGAAGTGGTGTCTTGGTAATGGAAAGGTCTGACTACAAAACCAGAATGGAAGAAATCTTACTAGACCAATCCAAATTCCAACTAGAGGCCACTACTAACAAACTAGGAGACTTGGAATCTAAAATAAATAAAGAAATTCAGTCACTCCTAAATAGTAAAATTAGAGAGACAACTGCAAAATTACTGGATCCACATGGCTCACAGATGTATGGCTCCCTAAACTACATAAGGCTAGCACACCTATGAGGCAGATCTTGTCTATGATAAACTCTGCTCAACATCAAACTGCAAAATGGTTAGCAGAAATACATTTACCAGTAAAGCAGTCTTTTGAAAATAGAACATTGAAAGATACGTTTGAGCTTATTGAACTGCTTGACAAAATTGATCTAAAAGATAAACACGTGGCTTCTATGGACATATCATCGTTGTTCACCAATGTGCCGCTGGAAGAAACCATCAAAATTATAATTGTTCAAATAAAGGATAAAAAACTTAAACTGGACATTCCTACGTCCACATTGGTCTGACTGCTGCGCCTCTGCACCGCAAATGTTAAATTTAATTTCCTTGAAACGAGCTACCGCCAAATTGATGGAGTAGCCATGGGTAGCCCACTAGGTCCCATCTTCGCCGACATTTTCATGGCAAATCTCGAAAATAGCAAATATGTCCACATCAGAGATTTGTTTTTGTGCTGTCGGTATGTAGATGACATTCTAATAATAACTGCTGACAAACAGCCAGCTACTGCGTTCTGTACCACCATGAACCAGTCACACAGAAACATCACATTATCGTTACAACATGAACATGACGGTACTTTACCATTCCTTGATGTACTTATTGCACGTAGAGAGGATGGCAGTATCCAAAGATCAGTGTACCGAAAAGAAACATGGACCGGCCAGTATCTAAATTTTTACAATTTTGTACCTATTCAGTACAGACGTGGCGTAGTGAGAAGCTTGTTCAACCTGGCCAGAAAGATTTGCACCGAAGACACACTGGCTGCAGAAATTAAAACTCTCAACTTTACTACTGAATGGGTACCCCATAGGTTTCATCAAACGTCATTGCACCCCACCCAACCCTACCCCGAACGAAATTACAGTATCCAAACTACGAGTATATATCCTACTTACTTATCGAGGTGATGACATCATGCAGCGTCTGCAGGACCGACTGAAAACAGCAGTTGGCCAAACATTCTTTGCGGCTGTTCCAGTAGTGAGGTACAAGACCACTCCTATCCCAACCCCACCTATTAAACAGCTCGTTTCTCCGTACACCAAATCTAATTGTATTTACCAATTTACATGTAAGTGCCAGTTGACTTACATCGGTCGAACGGAGAGACAGCTTGGAAATAGAGTGGCAGAGCACATACCCAAATGGCTACATACACAGCTCAGTGATTCTTCTAGGGTGTCGAGACCAGTCAAGAGGAAAGAACCCGCTTCTTCCATAGGACGTCATCTACCTAAATCGGGACACATAATTGACACAGACAGTGCTTTCCGTGTGGTTTACCACACTCCGAACAGGAGACTTTTGAGAATCGCCGAAGCTTTAACAATTAAAAAAAATCCCCCTCCTTTGTAAGCAGACGGAATTTATCGTAAATTTGAAGTTACCCTGGTAAGTCACGTGACTACGGTGAGCTTCTGACGGCCATGAAACAGACGCAATGTATTGGAAGAAACTATTTGCATTTCAGTTGAATTTATTCAGTTTTGTGCTTTATTTTATGTTGATGTAACTGTAGTAACGCACCTTATGAGATGCAGCGAAATATGCTGGCAAAAATTGTGCAATGTATTGTTTGTATTCGCATTTTTTAAATTTTCTAAACTTGTTGCTCCCCAAATATCTGTGATGTTGACATGTTGCTTTTGAAATGCTCACTGTGTCCTATTGTCCAAAATTCCCTTGTTTAGAGCTGCCAACATTTAGTTCCTTTACCTGTTGCCATTTAATGATTTGTGTTTTTATTTGGCAGGGCCCACCGCCTGATCCTTCTTTTAACCCGCTGGCGGACAGGTCACGCACAGACCAGAAGGAAGGGTTTTCTGATCACAAGAGACACCCACGGAACTACGGTGGGAGTGCTGACTTGACCAGAGTTAAGCAGAGCATGAGGCACATGAAAGAAAAAGTCAGTTGCTTCAAATATGATCGTTTCTTGTTTCTTATGTTTCCATAAACAACTGAGAATTGGCTTCCGCTTGAGGTACTCTTTTCTTAAAAGGGCGATTGGGATGCTGTGTTGTGGTTCACAGCTAGGGAGGCAGTATCTATGCCTTTCAGCCAAACACATCTGCTTAAAGCTAACCCTCAGTAGTCACCTTTTATGACATGCTTGTTAAGGGGCAGTGGGTTTATTCCCCCCCCCCCCCCCCTAAAATGGGGCCTCAAAAGCCACATGGGGGAATGTTCACCATAACCAAATCTTAACTCGAGTCACAGAGGTGCCATGGTGGAGTTATTAACGTTCAGTGTCCTGTGTTGTTCTGTTTTTGTCTTCTTATAGTGCCTTGAGGCATTGGTCATCATGTTTAACTCAATGCCTTCTGTCTCATGAACTGATATGATTTTCTTTGCTTATACACTCACTTTTATATGTTTTTTTCTGTCTGTCTCTGCCTGTACTTTCCATCAGTCTCTCTTTGTGTTTGTTTGTATGTCTCTGTCTTGTTCTCTCTCTGTCTGCCTTTCTCTCTCTCTCTCTCTCTCTCTCTCTCTCTCTCTCTCTCTCTCTCTCTCTCTCTCTCTCTCTCTCTTTTTGTGTGTGTGTGTGTTTCTGCCTCTCTATCTGTTCATCCATCTCTGTGTACATATATTGTGTCTCTCGTATGGCGTGTCTCTGTTTGTCTGTCCGTCTGTGTGCATTCATGTCTCTCTGCCTTTCTGTATCTCTCTCTCTCTTTCTCTTTGTCTGTCAATCCATCTGTGTGTATGTTGTGTCTCTGTCTGTCTACATGTGTGTATGTGTTCTGTGATGAGGTAGCCAACCCCAAGCCCAACCCTACCCCTAGTCACTTCTTAAACATGTCTGGTAGAGTGCAGTGTTACTATTCTTTGCTTCTCCGCTAGGGTCCCGGTAACGCAGTAACGGGCGATACCCGACATATAAATGACACAAATGGATTATGGTCATGGTGGCTCACGAACAACCTTAGAAAAATAAAGACCCACTAAAAAACACTTTAATTATAAAGAGCACATAGAAGACCTCATCCCAACACTTTCAGGGAGATAACTGCAGGAGACAAAGAAAATAATAAGAATGTGGAAGTAGAAGAGCAAAATAAAGAGGAAAAACAAAGGCTGAATGATAAACTAGAGGGGATGTCCGTGTGGGTTCCGGGGCCCCTTGTCTTGGGGGGGGGGGGGGTGTGGGTAGACCTACTTTCTTCCTAACAGTCATGTTGTAAAAGGCGACTAATTAGGGATTTTTCCTCTAAAGTCGGAGCGCAACGCCTCAGAAGTGAGGAACAACAGTCTACAAACAAGTAAGCCAGATCTGTAAACTAGATTTGCATGCAAAATTCAAGTTTTGGAGCAAGATTAGAGTCCAGAAGTGGATAAACATCCAGAACTTTATGCCAAAGTTTACTGCTGGTGAACTGTAAGAAGTAGAGGTCTAGAGGGAGAAACAATTGGTTATTTTTCATTTTCACACTGTCTAGGAAAGGTCCATGCCTTCTGGAGATAAACCCCCTATGATAGCCATGACTGGGCGCGAGAGAAAGAAACATGAAGAATGGAAAGCTGAGAGAGAGAAGTATGATCAGGAACGTATTCAACGACAGATGAACAATGCAGGAAGCTGGAGGCGAGCTTGGGATGTGGAGAAAATGGCTCAAGAGTAAGTTGGGAACAGTTGTTTTAACCCTTGCTGTGTCTGTTCTGTCTATCTGCTCTGTACGCTTTCCATCAGTCACGGTAGATGTGGTAAGGGCCCTTTGGGAGCAAGTAAACACTGGGGAGGCATAGATAGATATCACAGTCTGAGAATAGTGCAGTGAGGAATTTCCCGAGGATCTGGCCAGTGCTTAGAACTGAGGGCAGGGGCGAGGACGGACATACAATTGAACTGTTATTGAAACCATCAGGGATTGGAACTCTGCACTTGCTGCTGAAGATGGGGATAGAGCGCTTATGGGAATATCATATAATTTAAAATGCCGAGTGTAAGCTTTGGACTTCCCATTTTAGATCTAATCCCAGACCTTGTACAGATTCTATTTGATTTTTGTTTACACCAGGTGTAACCTGCAGTCCTGTGTGGGTAAGGACACCCTTGAGGTTTCTTGTAGCAGGTATCATCCCCCTCCCTTCATCTCTATCCTTTGGAAATTTTCTCCAGGAGATGTCGCTGTGTTGGGAAATGAGCAGGCAGATAGACTGGCCGGTTTTGCACCACTTGGTGGTGCACTGATGTATGACAAGCTGGATGTTGTGAGGGCCCTTTGGGAGCGAGTAAACAGTGCCGAAGAACAGACAGATCATTACGGTCTGAGGAGAATGGCACTGCGAGGAGTTACAAGGGGATCTAGCTGACGCTCAACACTCAGGGGAAAGGCGAGACACATATACAATCAGACAGTTACTGGTACCATCGGAATTATTTTAACTCTTTGCTTGCTGCAGGGGATGGGAGCTTATAGGGGGTGTCCCGAGTGCTATGATGTCGATTCTTTATTTAATATTCCTTCATCTCTGTGATTGGCCTTCTCTTTCTAGTCGGCCAGTCCAGGTATTTGCAGTTATGCCTGTAGATTACCTCTTTAGTCTTCTTAGTAAAAACGGCATACTGACATTAATTATAATTAACAAGCACTTCTGATGCATAGAAAGACTGAGATGGTGTGACAAATCTATCAATGTGATGTTCAAGGAAACAAGGCACATATAGTAGTAATAATTACTATCTTGTTCAGCCCATTTGTATTATAAGTGGGTTATATAGTGTCTGTTTCGATATTGGATATTTATGCTTGTCAGTTACCTTTAGTTATGTAATCTTGCTTCAGGATATCAAGTTGTCGGGTTTGATCCCAGGTGCGGTTGATTTAGCAGCAGACTGCCTAGTGTTGGATTTGACAGCTATATTGAAAGCCGACGACAGTGGCAAACTACTAAACATAAAATGCCTGGTGAAATCACAAACAAATCCCCCAAAAATGCTAGTGTTGATTCTATGATGTCCTGTAAGGGACACACAACTGAAAAAAAAAAACTTTAGAAAAAAATTTTCAATAATCTTATTGTGTAATATATCCTTGGGAATATTTAAAGTGATCTGGGATAGCCTTATTCTGCTTTCGATCTATTAGCATTTCATATGCAAGCCTTTGTTCTTCTGATGTACATCACATTGAAAGCAAGAGTTTCCTGTGTGGCTTCCGGGGCCCCTTTATGGGGGAAAATAAGAATAGATCCACTGCCTCCCCAACAAGCATGTTGTAAGAGTCAACTAATTGGGGGCTTCATTCGAAGTCGGCATGCATCTATCTAAGAGGCAGGGAACCAACAATCTGAATACAAGTTAAGTCAGATCTGTTAAATGGGTGTGCGCACACAATACTCAGGTTCTGGAACAAGACCAAAGTCCAAAGGTGGAAAAACAACCAGAATTTTCTGCTGGAGTTTACGGTGAACGCGAAGAAGAAGAAAAGAGTGGGGAAAAGATAACGGCACTAGATAAAACACGCAGAGAAATTCAGATAATAAGACACAAATTCAGCCAGGTTTTTAAAATCTACAGTCTAGAAGGAATAAAAGAGATACAAGTATTCACATTAACAAAAGGATTAGAGACATAAAGGAGTTAATGTGATAATTTGGAAGGAACTACACAAGATTTAACTGTTGTATAATGGTTGAGGGTCTAAGCTGCACGGTAAGTTAAAGGACAGAGCTCCACAAAGGCACCCAAAACACACACACATACTATATATATATATATATAGGTGCCCGGCTCTCTAGCGAAGTTGGTTAAACCTGACTTTCGCGGCCGCAGGGTGACGAACTCCTTGTGGTCCGGGTTCACTCCCGGGGGTAGGCAGAAAAGCAACATTTCTCCCAGATTAATGGTACCTACAATGGAATCAATGCCGAAGGGTTGCGATATCCATAGTGCCGAGCCAAAGGGTTTACAACTCATGGTTTCTGGATACGTTAAAAAAAATAAAAATATATATATATAGGATGAATTTCTTTGCTTCATCTGTAATCAGAATGTATCGTTACTTCTTTCTGCTTCAGAAATGATGAACAGAATTCATCCTCACTGTCACCAGAAATTGAATCCGGGAAAAGACCAGGTAAGCAAAGCTAGTTTCTTCAAAAATGTAAAACTGGTTGTCTGAAATATCTAAGTGTATGGCATTTATTTTGTTCTGCTGTAAAACATGGGTTTAAATGGACTAGGATTTCATTGTCCCTGTCGCCCATCATTTCTCCATCTCTGTCATTTGTATATCCCATTTTTGTTTTCACTCTGTTCTGCCATACAGTGTCTTTTCTAGCAGTCTCTGTCTTTTTCCTGCTTCTTTGTTTCTGTCCTCTGTTTTCTTCTCCTCTCTTTGTGTATTCTGTTTCCTCCCTTTTACCTGTCTGCCTTTGTCTCTTGCTTACCATCCTTTGCCTATTATGTCCCCACTTTGAGTCCTTCACCTCTCTATATGTTTCTGTATCCTACCTTTCTAGGTCACTGGTCACTGCCCCTGTTTGTTTCTTATTTTGTTTGTCAGTTCTTCCTTCATTTAATCCTATGTCTGGTTCATTCAGAAAATACTACGAGGGGAAGTCAATAAGTAAGTCACAAATGGCTATTTTTAAAAAAAAAACTTAAGGAAAAAAAAACAGTTTAAAAATCGTTTATTTTTACACATACACTCTTTTTTCAATATAATTTCCACAAAAACTGTTTATTTTCACACATACTGTCCTTTTTATTCCCCAGCATAATTTCCATAAAAACCGTTTATTTTTACACATACACTCCCTTTTTTTTTCAACATAATTTCCACAAAAACTGTTTGTTTTTACACATACATTGTCCCTTTATTTTTCAACATAATTTCCACCAACATTGATGAATGTCCCATCATTTTATCTGTCGTGCCAAACCTGCTGCATAGAACTGCAAGCTCTTTTTTTTCTAAACCACATTTTCACTTCTCATTCAACTTCTGCGTCATTCATGAAATGTCTCCCACCAAGGTGAGTTTTCAGTGGACCAAAAAGGTTTGAAATCGCTAAATGCTAAGTCGAGGCTGTAAGGTAGATGTTCAAGAAGTTCCCACCCCAGATGGTTAATTTTCTCCTGAGTTAACCGAGCCGTAAGTGGTCTGGCATTGTCATGAAGTAGTACTCCTCTAGTCAGCAGGCCTGGACATTTTCTTCTAATTGCCTCATGAAGCATCAATAGAACTTTACAGTATGAATCAGCATTTACATTGTCACCTATTTATTTTTTTTAATTGGTTAAATGCACTCCTTGACAATCCCAGAACACTGTCACCATAACCTTTCCTGTTGATGGCATAGTCTTGAATGTTTGAACGCAGTGCAAAGAAGGATGTTTCCATTGCATTCAAACACGCTTTGATTCATGTTGGTAATCATGCATCCATGATTAGTCCTCAGTAATAATCTTTTTCAGCATGTTTTCTCCTTCGTCTGCATATCGACAGAGATGCTGCAAGGTTGGGCCTAATCGGTTCATTTTGTGTTCATCCACCAATTGTTTGGGTACCCACCTTGAGCACACTTTCTTAAATTTCAATTGATCATGCTGAACCATATGGGCACCCTATTGCAGCTGCTACTGAAACAGCCATTACTCACCTGTCACCTCTTATCATTTCTTGCACCCCCTGCACGGAAGCATCTGTGACAATCCCAGAGGACGACCAGATCGGACTTCATCAACAATTTTAGAGCGTCCTTGCGAACATGTTTTTACTCAGCTGTGCACAGCTTTACGAGATAAATATTTATCAGCATAAACAGGAAGCATTTCCTTATGAATGTCCTTTGCAGGCAGCCCTTCTCCCCCCCCACCCCCTCCCACCCGAATGCACAACAGCACATTGTTCTTTGAGGGTACATTCGTAAGTAGTTGCTATTTTGTTTCTGTGCTGCGAATGCGCATGCAACACTTAGGGCCACATAACGAACGGCGACATAAAGTCCGGTGTTGCTTTTGCCTAATGACACCTTTAGAAACCAATAGCTACATTTGCATGTATTTTTGTTTTGAGAAAATCATGGTTGAACAATGAGATCTCTCTGACAAATCACGTTGTGGCTAATTAAAATTATGTTGTTGCGTGAAAAGTAATACTTCATTTTGACCCGTTTGGAGTAGGAATTCACAACCTCTGAAAATGCACTTGGGTGACTTTTGGAATGAGGGTATATGGAGTGCCCGTGGGACTATAGGGGTGAATAGATCAGAAGAAGACAGTCCACATTCTTTGGACTTGGCATGAGAAAGGGAAAAACAGGATCGTTGGGAAAGTTGAAAAGGGGGAGGGGGGTGGTTGGGTGATGCCTGAGAGAAATTATGCTGGATAGTTTTGGAATCAGGTATAGAAAAACATATCAGAAATGATCAGTGAACACAAAACATGGTCTGTGGACCAGCTGGATGGTCGACACCACACAGTGTGAGCAACAACAACAATAATAAGAATAAGAAGACATTGGTACACCAGTTAAATTATTATAGATCATTTATAGGAGGACCGTGCAAGAGCTAGCTGAGAGTCTGCTTGACCTTACAATGGGAAATCAAGGGCTCAAGTCGGAGAATTAATCTGAATGAATTTATAAATCATTGCAAAAGTTGCCAGTTCAAGTGGCATGACCATACTACAGGGGGAACCAGCTGTTCTCATTCTCTAGACCAACGGTTCTCAACCTTCCTAATGCTGGGACCCTTTAATACAGTTCCTCATGCTGTGGCCACCCCCCAACCATCAAATAATTTTCATTGCTACTTCATAACTTCAATCAATATGTGTTTTCTGAATGTCTTAGGTGACCCTAATGAAAGGGTCATTCAACCCACAAAAAGGTCACGATCCACAGGTTGAGAACCGCTGCTCTAGACAGAGCCTAACAGCAATTGAGTATGTTGATATATTATGGATACTTGTTTGTTGATAAGTGCAACATTTGTTAGCGCGTCTGATTTCACATTTTATTGTGTATTGACTTCTAGCCTGCATTTAAAAGCACATTTGTGAATAGTTTATAGAAGCTATCAGAACATATATAGAAGCTGGCAGAACAAGTTGATTTGTCACACTCTGCTGGTGACTCATCACACTGTCCACTGTATCAAAGTGCCAAAGAATACAAGAATTGTATGACTGGTTTACTTATTTGTGTGAATTTTGTCTTCCAGGTGGCTTGAATCATTATGAACATTCCAACCCAGAACATGAAATTGGTGTGGCCTCATCATCATCGTCAACAGCAGTCACCCTCTGGGTTTCAAACTGTTCAAGACAGGACCCCTCATGGTCTGGGAAGAGGTCGCGGAAGAGGGCGTGGTTACTTGAGGGAGTTAAATGGGAAGTTAGCACAAAAGTCCCCATTTACCGGACCCGCAAGTGAGGATCGCACAGTTCAGCGGCAGAAAGATCTCATTGTGGTCAAGTTTGACAATACTGCTGGAGATAAAAACACTGAAGTGAAATATGAAGAGGAGTTTCCTGGTCTTATTTCTGATAAACAAAACCAGTCTCAGACTTCTGTTCCACGACGTGGACCCACAGGGCGGACCTCAGCCCGTGGTTCCGGTGATCAGTTACGTGGTAATGGTCAAAATGTACAGAGAACCAAAGAACCCCAGCGCAAGGTGTTGCCACAAGCACCACAGCAGTCTTCTCCCAAGGTGGAGCCAGTTGAGGCACAACCTGTCATTCCAAACAATCTAGATGCTAGTCCTGAACCTGTCGAAAGTCATACAAATCCTGAAAGTGGTGAAGACAGTGATGAGTGGGAAGATTGCTCAGATGCTTCAGATATTCCAGAGGAGGATGATTCCTTCCAAGCTGATGTTGCCAAGGTTTCTGAAACTAAAGAAAGCACTGCTGTACATGACTTGCACCTTGAATGCACCCTTGCCCCTGATGTTTCTGAATTTGTGCCAGAGTCCCCGGATTTCATGAAAACTCCACCAGGACATGTCAAAGTTCTGAATTGGGCCACAGACTGTTGCCCTACTTCTCCTTCTTCACAGGATTCATCTGTCACCTCACCACTATCTGCTTCTCAAGGATAATTGGCAAGTCCTGACTAAGCTGTGCCTCACATCTCAGGGAAGTGTTTCTTCCCCATAGTTTCCTACTTGTGGTACACCAACATAAGATGGTTGGTCTGCTTCTGGTGTTACTTGGTCTCATAGTCCGGGTGGAAGAATTTAGCTAGAGATGTGAGAACTCTGAAACTGTATTTTTTTACTTAAAACACCTTTAGTTAAGAGAGCAGCAGCAGGGACTCAATGAGTCCTCATTTTCCTGATCATGAAAGCTACTTTCATATATAATAACCAAACTACAAAAGTATTTTTAGTGTTTTTAAAGTAAATTAAGAATGTTTTAATAACATAATTAGCAAATAATTGAGAGAATGGAGACCATACTTAAGAGATGTGAAAGCTCTGATGTTTTATGCCTTCAACTTAAAGACCGTAGTCAAGATACAAAGCCCTTATTAGGTGAACTGATATTTATTTTTTTTTTGTAAGTGACGCTGTTCCTAAAACCAGCTGCACAACTCCATGGTCCATAGGGACTGACGATATATGTATACTAACAACTTTTTACATAAAGTGAACTTGGTTGACCGCATAGTAAAGCAGTCAAAACAGTTAACAAGTGTTGCTTAAACAAAAAAAAAGAAATAGCTTCCCATAGAAACACTACAGCTAGAAAGCCTTTATCAGTATATAACATAAGATTGCAGAGATACAACCACATACAAATTGCTGAAAATTCGCTTCACTGTTTAAGGGCTAAAGTCCAGGGTGGTCAGAACTGTAGGCTGATGAAGGGCTGTCTAACTGTAACATACATTTTCTCTTTTATGATTTGAGACAACTGCCTAAAATGACATAAAAGTGATTTAGCAGTTTTAAGAGGTAAGTTCCAAATATGGTCAGACTTCTTGTTTGCTGATAAGATGTTTCTCGCAGCCGCATTCATTTTCTCACTTGTGATTAATGTAAGTGCTTTAAAATGATGTAGCTGTTTAAAAGCTGATGTAAGCGTTATCAAACTTGTTGTTTGTTTTAGTATCCAGAAGCCATGAGTTGTTAACCCTTAAGCTCGATATTATGGATATCGCAACCTTTCGGCCTTGATTCCATTTTAAATACCGTAAATCTGGGAGAAATGTGGCTTTTCTGCCCACCCCCGGGAGTGAACCCGGACCGCAAGGAGTTCGTCACCCGCTCACCGCGCAGTCCGGTTTAGCTAACTACGCTAGAGAGACGGGCATCACACTTGTTAAATGCTGATGAAGATTTTTAAGAAGTAACATTCTTATTCTTATGTATGATGGTTTTTTGTTTTGCTTTTGGGAAGCTGACAAGTTGTGCTGTTTTATTTTTATTGATCTTTTTCATTGTATCAACTCTTTCAATAGTAGACAGTGCACCATGTGTGACTTGATAGTACCCATGAGCACCAGTCAGTGGATAGCCCTGGTATCTGTCTAAAAGTTTGTTTAGGGGACTTAACTTCCAACACAGTTTTGTCTAATATCTATTAGTTACAGCCCTTGTTGCTCACAGCATTTTTCTTGCTAGTATTTTTTTATGGTGGCTACACGCGGGCCAGAGATTCTACTGGCCAGACAGAAATGTGATTTTGTGTATTCTTGTTCACATTTGTAGAGTTGTAGGTTTATGTAATGTGCTGATGAAGGCTCTCTAGCTGCAGCGTTCATTTGTGATATTGTGAAGCTGACTGGTTTAACATGTTGTTTAGTATATTTTCACAAGAGCCCTGGTAGCATCATAGCTTATTTCTTGCCTACGGGCCTGAAAGGACTTGGGTTCGAATCCACATCGTGACGGATTTTTATCCTTCAAAACTGACCTTGGCTGCCAGATTGACCCACTCCAAAATGGGTCGCAGGCAATTTCCTGGGAGATAAAGGTGGCTGGCATGATGTTGACCTTATTACCCACTGAGTGCATATTGTGTCTGTAGAGTCTAGGATCATATGCACGATGCTCTACTGGCCTAAAAGGGCCCTTTCTTCTTCTTCTTCTTCTTCTGGTGTTTAATGATACCAGGTTGAAGCCCAGTGTCATGTTTTTCTGTATTTGTCTTGTGCTTCTCAGGTGGCTCAGGTGATGGAAATAATCCTCTTTATTTTACTTTATATTTTAACGTTTTACGTGTTGGTATGCATCTTTATTTATGCTGAAGGGTGCAGATATAGGAGCGAAACTCTAAACCACAACACACCTTTAAAAACACAGCGAAAAAAGGAACATCTTTCTTTTAGTCATGGCATACTAAAGGACTCCAGCAACACATATATTTCATACAAGGCTTGTGTATTTAGTTTTTGGGGAAGCAGCACACGTGTGATTTTTGCAGCTGTCGTTATTGTCTCACTCTGACCTTGCTGTGATTGTCTAAACCTGAAACAGTTCATGTTGCTGATTAAACTAGTTATTTGTGTGTAATGATGTCACATTGTTAGGCTTTTGGTGTAGGCCGATGTCTATGACTTGAAAGTTGTGAACACAATTTCACAGTTCAGACACACCGAGGCTCAAAATCAGCTACAGTTGATTTGATAGCAAGCTACTTTGCACTGATTTCAACAATGCTGTGAGCTGGTACAGTTCAAATAGCAATCATTCTTCACTTTCTGTTTTGAGTTGTTGAGGGAGATTTAAGAAACTGGTTTTTGCTCCTCTGACCACCCCAACTGTAGACACATTGTACTTTTGTTGAGTTTTTGTGATGCTATTGTCCATTCTTATTCTTGGTCTCTGCTCTTTTGGTGTATGCTTTGTTGGATATGGCAAGTTGCATGAACAATGTTATTTGCTGTTTTTGTAGCTCTCTATTTGTTCTGTGCTGACTTTTTTTTGTATTATGAATTCATTCCTGATGTTAAATCCCTCCTGTAGCATTTCTCATACATCCTGTTTCCATGTTACTCATTTTATTTTGTGGTTTGTTGTAAGCGATCAAGTCTGACCATGGTAGCATAGGGTCGAGATGAATATGCTGCGTATAAGATGTGTTTTCCCCTTGCAAATTGGGATTGGCCCTATGTTGTAAAACTACTGCAAACTACTGAACATAAAATTGCCTAGTAAAACCACACAGTGGCCAATAAAGGCTGATGTCGGTTTGCATCATCCTCCTCTCTACTTAAGTTTATTGTGATCATTTTAGGGAGTGAACATTTCCAGACTGTTACCTGAATGCTGTTGTCTTTTTTCTTCTTCTCTGGATCAGTAATATTACATGTGTTGTTATGCAAATGTCTTTTTTTTCTTCTCTATATCATTAATATTGCATATGTTGTTATGCAAATGTCTTTTTTTTCTTATCCGGATCATTAACATTACATGTGTTATGTTTTAACATTGTTGATATGACAGAGGTGACTGACAGGTGCTTTATTAATATCCTACCTCAAACAGGGGAAATCCACAGGTTACGAGACAGTCTAATATTTCAGGGAGTGATAGATAGGCTGCATGCAGAGCTGGAACCTAGGATGCATGCACTCGTGGGACCTAGGCTGTACTCTCTCGTGGGACGTAGGTGGGTTGTGGTTAGGGCCAGTTATAGATGTTTTAGGGTCGTTAAAAGCATCAGAAAGCTGGGAAACCCAGTCTTACCACCCTCTAAAATGTTTGACTGTCCTGTGACGTTGTCTGGGGTAAGATATTTATAAAGAACCGATTGATGGTATGTTGTTATTCTTTCCACAAGCCGGGACCAGTGATGAAATTATTGAAATTGTTTATATGCAATCCTTGTAGTTTATGATGTAATCTATATCTGTTGTCAGGATCCTTAGGGGAAGCGAAATGCACCCTAACTCTGCCAGGTTGAATGAGGACCTCAATGTGCTCCATTTGGTGGTGAAGGGAAGAAAAAGAATGTTTTAGATACAGCTATATATGTTTTCCTTGATTTTTGCCCTAAATATGAGATGTTTTCTGTATTGTCACTTTTTGTAATATTTTATATTATGTTTATCATATATTTCATAACTTTAACTTGTTCTTTGTCATGTTATAGATGTTTTTTTTTTTTTTTTTAAATCAAATTGCATTTAATTTTTTTGCTGTTTTTTTAGTTTCATGTTTTATACAGTTCTTCTTTGTTTTTCAGTTTTTTTCTTTGGCGGGAGGGAGGAATTGTTTTATTGAATACATATTCTTTCTTTTGTAAAATGTTGTGTATATTTTCCATGATGGTTATCGCATATTTTATGTATCTTGCTGTTAAAATATTGTTTAGTAAAGTTGAGCATTTATCACTCACTGATGTCATAATCTAATGGGAAACTCTATAGTAAACATTGATGAGAAAGACAAAGTTACCAGACTAGATGTATCCTTGATATTGAAGAGATAGCACCGGATAGAATAGAATAGAGGAATAGATCATGAATCCTGTATGACATATAATGATGGATGCCTTTGATGCAAAGCAAGGGCAGTTTTTTAGAGGCCATGTGTTCCCATGCAACAGGATCCTTCTCTTTGCCTGCCTTGTTTGCTCCCAAGGAAAAGTAACATCAGTATGTTTGAAAGTAAGAATTTTTGAAAAGCTGCTGGATCAGAGTTGTTCTCTGTCAGGTTGTTTTAATGTTGATCTTATTACCAGCACGTGTTTTAGCATGTTTTACAAATGTGTTTTTTTTCTTATCGTAAATAAATTGTTCTTAATCAAAGAGTTATCAAATATGTAAAAATTTGTTTTCAGTAATTTTACTGTTGTTTGTATATCACCCATTTGTTTACAAATGTTCACCGTATCATAGGTGTTGGCAACTTATGCTCCATACATGCAGTTTGACACATAGCAGGATTTTCAATGGCCTGCTGAATGTTGATTATATAATGTCGTTACAGCTAGAGACTTGTACCATATTTCTGCGAGTATAAGACAGTCCCATATGTGAGACACATCTTAAGTTTGGGACCGGAAAGTGGGGGGAAAAAATTTGATAACAACAAGTTATTGAACTCATGGTTTATTTGTCATAGAATCCAAAACTCCTCATCACTGTCAA